CGTTAAACTGCAATTCATATGGGCTCAGATGTTTTTTGTTTTCATTGGCATTACTGCCGTTTTTGCTTTGTTTACTAACAGCTGCTCACATATTCTTAGAGTTGCCAATGCTGTTGCATAGAGTCGTGTAGAGTACTTTATACACAATGATTTGTACCTTTGTGTACTTTCATCACATCTCATCACATTACTGGAAATGCAGCAGTTATTACATATATAACATAATACTGTATAAAAAATGCACTTTTATTGCAGTCTTATTATAGTATTTGTACTAAATTAATTAAAATTAATACACAGTGTTATATAAATCAATTTATGTTTACGAATAAATCAATTTATATTTACATCGATGGCTCAATATGTAATAATATGTTGAAAAGCAGTGTACTTTAAGAATAAGTTCACCTCAATTTAAACTTCCACTTAACGGTTCACTAAGTATTTTTTAAACACAATCAGTTGCTTATGATTGTATGTTTAAATGACCGCCTTGCAATGCATTATTTGGCAGGGATATTTCCACTTTTAGTGATAGACAAACAGAAAAATTTCACTCAAAACAATTCATTGGTTTAAATTGCCTTAAATCGAAAGAGATTCCAATGCAATTCCCTCACTGACGCAAAACTTTCTTATGCCAGGCACTATTCCGATTCAATGGAGATGGAAGAAAATACGGAACAGTAATATGGGTATAAAAGAAAATTGATACCATGCCTCAGCATAAGCAGTGATTTCAAATTAATAAATTAAGGTATTTTCGTAGTACCGCAATATGCAGTCGAGTCCCGATAATTCGAGATCGCAAGGAAACAGAATTTTTTACGAATTAGTAGGTTTTTCAAATATTCTAGATTTCGAATTAACGAGGTTAAAAAAGAAGAAAATTCGAATTATCATGGCTTTTACATTTCAGTTGATTTTCATATATTTTTATATATAACTTTATTAGCACTAAATAATCCAATTTACATATGTATTTACATCCTATGTACTATTAATTTAATAAGAAAATAAAATCATAAAATATTATAAAGAGTAAGATCAAGTTTTAACTTAAAAAAAAAGTTTGTAATTGTTGATTGCTTCAGATTCTTTTCGCCTTTCTCTTCAGTTGATTTTTCCAAACTTAATAAACAATCAAAAACATTTGTTTGGACATATTGATTTGAAACATAATATCGTAGTTGTTGAATGACCGAACAGCTTGTTTATTCATTATAAGCAGTTTCTCACTGGCGCTATCATAATCATCCGTCTCATTATTAATAGCTGCAACTTCATCCAAAATATTGTTATCAATTAACATACCAAATGCAATCACGTCATTACCAATGTTCAAGTAATCATTGAAAAGGGTGACATTTTCAAAATTCTCACATATACGGTCCCCCAGATAATCTATTTTGAATTGTTCCACTTGAAATACACTTTCGTTCAAATCTTTATTAAAACTGGCACTATTCCACGCTTTATAAGCCATTTGTATTGCCGTAAATAGCTAGATTAATAACCATTTCCTTGTGGTAAAATAATTAAAAATTCTTCATAACACCATGGTTAACACCCTACAAGGTATCAAAGGTTAATTTGACCTTCTAGCGAAGAACGCCATTGAAATTGGTTTAAAAATAAACTACAACAAAACCAAGTTAATGCGCCTTGAAACTACCAACACCTCGCCGCTCGTTGTAAAAGTAGACAACACCTCAAGAACAATCGACTACGTTGATAGTTTCTGCTACCTCGGCAGCATCGTTACGAAGGAAGTGAGGGCCGACGAAAATGTTTTAGCTCGCAATGATAAAGCCCGTCATTCTTTTTAAAAATGAAGAAAATTTGGTCCTCGAACTTTATCTCGCGTCGCACTAAGCTGAAAATCTTTAACACGAGCATCAATTCAATCCTTCCATATGGATCTGAAACGTGGAAAATTACAGAACGCATCCGACAGAAGCTGCAGGTATTTGTCAATAAATGTATCCGCCGTTTACTTAAAATTTTCTGACCACAGTTAATCTCAAACACCGAACTTCTCACAATATCCGAAAATGTACCAATAGAACTCGAGATTAAAAGCCGAAAGTGGCACTGGATTGAACACAAACTCCGAAAAGACAACACCGCTATTGTGAAAATGGCCATTGAGTGGAACCCCCAAGGTTCACACAGGACTGACCGCCCACGAGTCACTTGGCTGCGCTCTATCCACGTTAAACATCGGCAATTTGGTTCATGGAACGAAATCCGGCAAAATATTCTAGACACAATTGTGGAAAAACTTCGTCTCCGCCCTATGCTCTTACTAAAAATGATGTCTTTACCCAAAGTATAATGCATAATTAGATTATAATAATAATAATAATAATAATAATAAATACATTATAAATACACCAAGGAAATAATAATAATAAATATGGTCAAGGATCAGCAGCTTGGAAGTGGTATTTCCTGGCAAAAAATGTATTTGTACATAACTGAGATAAGGGGACCCATTATGCGCTGTACAGTTGTCCATAAATAACAGTATCTTTCGATTTTTGTTTTCATACTTTCATTCAGCGTCTGAAGCCATTCGTTAAATAGATCCATTGTCATCCACGCCTTCATATTGTGTCGGTACAGCATTGGAAAGCTGCGAATGTTCTTGAAGCACCTTGTATTTGCAGACTAATTTTTTGTTCTACATTACCAATTATAAGAGGCTTATGGTAATGTTCTTTGAATTTCAAATAAAATACGAATAAACGAGAGGACCAAAAAGTATGGACCAAATTAATTAATTTACTACTAATTAATGAGGTTTTTTCAAGGGACCAGCAATTTGTTACGAATTATTGAGGTTTTCGATTTATCGGTGTACGAATTATTGCGATTCGACTGTATTTCGTAATGCCTAACTGAGACATATCTTCCTTACACAAACTGCTAATGGGCATTGAGACAATTTAAATATGCACAGTCATAGAGATTGGAACGATTCCTTTTCAAACAAAAACTATTGTAGTTTTCAATTGTGTACAATGTTGGAGATGTATATGCTACATAGATGCTATAGCAGCCAGACTTTCAAATGTAACAAAAATAACAGTACTCGAAATTTTTGTTATTTGAAACTTAACGCAAATTATGTTACATTGAATTTGTATTTATACTAACACACAAGTCCAAGGTTCAAATTTAACAGGCTTCAAGTCCTAACACTTGTAGTCCAAAAATTATATACAGACAGTTCAACTAATAACCGTTTCTAAACTAAACTGATGATACATATTGACTACAATAATTTTCTCTGCGGGGAGGGGAAAAGAATACTCCCGCGATTAGGATTGCCTATCGTAAGAGGCGACTAAAATCCCCCAGTGTCAGTCTGGCACTTATGCAAGAAGTGTAAATGATAGTGAGTTGAGGTCTGCAACTTGCGACATCTGACTAGAGATGATGCTATCTGGTACTTTGGGTGTCAGTGACCCGCAGCTTCGACTGTTCTGACCATTGGCGTTAGCTTCGAAGTGGCTGTTTGGTTGATACCCAAACTTACGCGGGAAGAATGTTTTGCTTGTCATTCATTTGCCGTGGAGTGCGTTTCAAATCGGGTGCTGCAGCCCAAATTGTAGCAGAAGTAATTAGTAGGCCTCGCATCTTACCAAGGTGGAAGTTAGGACTTGCATAAATTTATTCATTGGTACCGGCGGAATAGAGCAGGCTATTCCAATGGGGCGTTGATTGACGCTTAAATTAATACGTGTGTTAAGAGCACCGTGATGTTAAGCCGTCCTGGCAGGAAATCACGTAAAACATAGAGACATCTGACTACAATAATTATACATTTCTTCAACAGAGGTCGTAATTGCAGTTTTTCACATCTAACTTCACACTTAGCCGTATAATCATTATACATATTAACAATTGCTTTATCAAGGCTTGCTGGAGAAAAAATTCGATTGAATATGCGCAGTAGTATTCCACCAAAAAAATGTGAAAACCCACACAAGTTTGTAACTCACCGAAAATGGTTAGAGTCCATATTTTCTACATCTGGCACCTTCTGATTATTACTTATTACGTATCTTATAAAACCCACACAAGTTTGTAACTCACCGAAAATGTTTAGTTGCCATATTTTCCAGATCTGGCACTTTCTAATTATTACTTATTAACTATCTTATAAAATTTTTCAAACGAAAAACCTTCACTTCAAATTAAAAGCTCAAAAATCTGAATCTAAATCAGTTTTCGTCAGCAAAGAACAGCAATTTTCTAAGCGTGAAAAAATGTTTCTACCAGGTAGATAGCAAAATAAGAATGCCAGAATATAATTCAATAATGTTCACGATTTATTCACTACGAGAAACTCGTTTTTCAATAAAAAAAACAACTTTTATTCTGATCTCATATTCCCCTGTGAAAAACAGGCAAACAGACTGAGGGGAAAACCCGCTTACACATTCGTCCCCCCTATATCCCAGATGTAATTTCTTCTCTTCATCCTATCTTCGCCTACTCACATCCTAATCCATGCAGTCATATTGTAATTCATTCATGTTTCCTGTTATGTAGATCGCAATGGGCTGCAATGCGACAACAAATGAAGGAAAGTTCATGCCATGAGACAATAATATATGAACTTCTCACTACCAATAGGGTTTTCGAGTCAATAGCACCAGTATCAAAGTATCAATATAAAAGCATTTATAAAAACGACTTTCAAAATTAAAAATAAATTTATTATATTCAAATACAAATAAGTACGTACGTTAGGATAGAGCATTATTAATAAATTTATAAAATTTTAACTTTTTTGTTATTACAATTCAATTTTACAATTCAGACATATGTTAAATTATGTTAAAATAATTATTGGCACACAAAATTAACTTTGTGATATATACAATTATACAAGTTTCAACCAACAATAAAAAAAGGAAAAACATTTTTATAATTCACTATAAAATTCAATATAACTATAACAAAAATTTTAAAATAAAATAATTTAATAAATAATTAAATTGCATCACAACAGAATAAGGCAATAGGAACTACTTAAACTATAAATCTATAAATCGTTTCATTTAATAAAAATAACTGAGAGATTCATAAAAAGACGTACAAGAAAATTAAAAATTATCAATATAAAACACACAATATTTTCTAAAGTACATTTAAAGCTTTCTTGAATACTTATAAATTAAATAATTAACATTTAATGCAAAACCGAAATTAACTTCTTAATGTCACAAATTGCAACAACTATATTGTTGTAAGAGGTATATACTATATCAACACCTATAATGATAATACAAACGCTTTTATAGAATTCCTTTTTTCATTTCATAGTGAAATGAAAATCATTTTCATTTTATAGTGTTCCTTCTTTTTGCCTATTTCAATGTATATATTTGAGCTTAGTTGAGCACCGTCTGTATGAGTGTTTGCAGTGAAGGGATTTACTTTCTAATTGATGTAAATTCAATTCAGTAGAGCAATTCATATGCAGTGTGACATTTTCAGTGACTTAATCGCTTTAGTAACTGATGTTGAGAGTTTTTCCAAATATATTCGATTATATGTATATCATTTGTCATGAGATTATATAAAACTTCTTAATATTACTTAGTCCATTTATAATATTTCCATAATTTAGCTTTATGTTATTAAAGATAAAAATACAAAAAGTCAAAACTAATCCAAAATATATAAATACGTATAGATTTTATAATTCAGTTGTACCCGAAATGCCTGTAATAGCATTTTCACCATGTATAATAAGGTCCATTTGAGATTGTGATAATCCGCTAGTTAGCAATTTTTCTAACTTGATAAATTGTTCGTTGGGTTCTTCTATCGAAGCAGTATCATGTTCAGGCAAGCGTACTGACGAACTGCGTTTAGCTCGTTCTGAATATAAAAAATGTACTATATTATTACCTTTATAATAGATAGAAAGCGCTTACCTGTTCTCGCTCGTCTTGCTTCTTGTTCAATTATTATTTCATTTGTTATATATATTTCCCGACGAATTTGGTCACGCAATTCTACACTCATATCCGGTATACACCATCGTACAAATATCATAACCAAAGCGACGCAATTCTATAAATAAAGAAATAGTAAAACTGAAATATATTGCATTCTTGTTGCTGTTGGGATAGAGAATGGGATAGAAATAGACTAGCTTGGGTCGTAGTGGTGGTAAACCTTTAAATAGTGTGTGCATTGGGACATGAGAACAGATGGACAACATATTGAGCAGAAGAGCTTCAGTTGAGACACTCGTTAAGAATTGATAAATAACTAATCACATGACTATCTCCCGGCCTCAGTTGTCCTAAAACAAATATTGCTGTACAAGAAAGTTATCATTATTTTTTGGAAACAAGAGACGAACACATTAAAAAATTTGTTGCTATGCAACGGTGAGTATTCGACATCACTGATTTTTACCATTTCAATAGCTATCGATGCATGAACAAAGAGGTCTACTGACCATGCTGTCATTAGAATGTCCAGCTAATTGCGCTCCTTTACAAGAAGCATTTGTAATTCTGTATAAAGATGGTGAATATTCGATGTCTAGTACCAAATAATGAGGCCACTAAGGAAAGATAAGCAATTGTGTTGTGCTTTTATTTTTCTGAAATGCATACAGATGGGGATCAAGGTGAATATGTGGCGATGATTGCTTTAGAATTTAACTGCAGCACCTTGGCAATTGAAGAAATCAGTATATAGATAAATATAGATATACAAGAAGATATACATGAAGATATACAGATATATATATGTATATATAATGACAAGGTCATCAAGAAAACTAAAATTTTAAGTTGTAATATAATAAGATTAATTTTTTTCTTTCATTTAATAGACATTTTCACAATGATAAATATTTTAAACCAGCGTTAAAATAAAATTTTCAATGCTGTTGATTTTGTTAACCCAGTTTCAAATCCGGGTCAACAGCGGATTTAGAAGCCACAAAAACTCAATTCGAATTAGATACATTGAAAGATTTATATAAATTTTCAGGTTAAATAATAAAATTTAAATAATATATATGTAAAAAACAATAAATAAAAATAATTTTTTAATTAAAATTTTTATACATTTTTGTTAATCTTCATACAATTTTTCTATTATCGAAATCCATGTTCCCAATGTTGAGCAAAGTATTAAGGTCAGAATAGAATTTCAAACATTCAGTCCGACAAATGCACCCTTAAGTTCAATTATAATAAAAAATGCTGCAAAAAAATTGAAGAGAAAAGGGCAAATAGAACTTATGAAGTATTTATATCGACGGATCATTGAACCGTCGGACGTTTTCTTTGGCTTTTCCTTCAAATAGTTTGGTAAATGCCATGCAATGCGAAAATGTCAGCGACAACATTTTGTATTGGTTCGAACTAGTACAATTTGTATCGTCACATCGTCAGCAACTTGACCAACTGCTCGCGGAAAAGTTGCAAGTGCAATTATTTATAAAAGACTAACTATTAACAAAAGAGTGCAGTATTTACACCAAATTAGGATTCAAAATAATAAACTATGAAACGCTTCTCCTGCTTCAGTTTAAGTTCTGTGGGCATGGGCATTGCCTCCCTAGATATAATTCTGTCACTAAGCACATTAGTATTTTGCTCCTATTATCTCTATAATGATTTTTCACAAATGGCAAATTGGTCACAGAACGAAATCAAGCCGCTGGACCCATTAAGCAATTTTATAGCTACAATGGGTAAGTTTATTTAATGAAATGGTTATAAAACAAAATTTATTTTATCCTTATCCTTAAATAGTTGATTATGTGTTAGTAAATAACTTCTCAAACGCGTTTTATATGGTTCTGGCTGTTACATTGTGGATTAAATCATTAATAAATCTTGTGGTGGCATCAATACTTATGGATGGTATAAGAAAGGTAATCAGGCAAATTAAATTATGTTATCTGAATATTTAATGACAATTTTACAATATTAAATGCAAATATATATAATACATACTAAATTAAAACTAAATTTTATAGTGTCTAGGCTACTTAATAAATTATAACTAATAAAATATTTACAAAATAAAACACATTTCTAAGACTTTTAAACAAAAACTAAATTTAAAAATAAATACGTTTTTTATCATCTTTTATTATTTAGCAACGTCTGATTTGCATTGCACCATGGCTGATCAATACCTGCGTTTCGATGACTATTGAAGGAGCTATTTTCATTTTTATGGAAATAAAAATAGATGAAGTCGACGCTTCTATGGATAGAAGAATTATACGTTCTATTATATATGGCGTATTTACAGGTAAACCAGTAACTTTCATAAACCAAAACTTTCCTAGATTTAATTTCTTACAGTTTTAAACGCACTATTTACATTTGGTGTTTTCGCCCTCTACAAAATGTTGAAGACGACTACGAATGAAAATCGAGCTTTGCAGGAAAGTATTGCAGAAACAGCAGGTCTCTTTCAACATGTAAAAGTTTGAAAAACAGCACTAGAAACATCCCATAACAACGAAACCACTTTTAATTATTGTATATAATAAATATTCAATACATTTAATAATTAAGAAAAAAGGTATATATTGACACATCATATTTTGACACATATTAATATTATAAATTACACGACATATACGTTGATATATATGTACCAGAGATATGTACGTATTCTAAAAATATATTTAAGTCCACCTTAAGCCTATCTAATAAATTAAACATTTAATGTAAGTCTTCAATTTATATAAAATCAGACCCAGAGGCACAAAGCTCTTGAACATTTATTTAGATTGTAAAAATAGGAGTAAAACTTTGTGAGAATTTTATTTTTTCTCAGCTTCTATACATACGATGTCGTCCTTATATGTTTTGTGGTTGCTTGACTCCACAAAATCAAAAGAATTTTATTTTGTGCTACAATAACTACAATAACTCCAAAATCGAGTAAATCTTTGTTATTTGGTGTGTTATAGCTTAAGAAAGAACAAGTGAACTTAAATTAATCATCTACAACTGGACATGACCAACTGAGATAAGTATGCATAAATTTTCATTTACTTAATTATTCATTTATTTATAAATAAGTGTAAACAAATACATACAGCCTAATACAATAAAGTCATCGACATACCCCATGACTCTATTTCTTGAACACTTAATTAAGCTAAGTAGGGCACAAGAACTTAAGTTAACAATTTAACTTGATTTTCCAATAAAAACAACTGCATAACTTACAATATATCATCCGAATATCAATAAACCGAATACAAAATATTAGAACATATACTGACACCATAAGCAAAGAGGAATCGTAAGGATCCAGTACAAGTATAACAATAAGATTTTGTTTACACTTTCATTTGTCATATTCAAACTTAATTATCTATTTCGATAAATGTATAAATAACAAATTGCACTTACCTCAAATATCACCACAAAACCTAAACGGCAAGCCAAAATTATATAAAACATGCTGCTTAAGTTGTATTTATTTTCAGATGTGGGAGGTTCTCGAAAATCGGTATATCTGTGTGTGTTGCACAAAATAATATCATTCCAAATATAAACAAATACGAACGCCTACTACTTACTTGCAAATTGTAATCGAGGAGTTGTCACCGGCTAAGCTACGTAAGGTATCAGAATCGCTAATTTTAAATTCTGATAAAGAAAAATCTAAATATCCGTTTAAGCTCTTATCCGTTGAAACGATAGCGCGATATACCAAACGTGGTATCAAATCTGAAGTAAAAGCAATAATAAACCCCTAATAAAATAAACATACAAAGATTTCAAAGGTTATTTCTTTTGAAATGCTGTTTAAAGCTAAATCAAAACATACATTTGTGATAACACTTAATTTTCCTATACAGTCCAAAATGCGATACCAAACACCTATATCGCGCACACGCTGAGATACAGGCCGCTTGTGGTGAGTCAATAATTTTTTCGCATCCAAACGCATTTCTAATATATTATTGAGCAAAGCAAAAAATGGTGCTAATGGAAAAGCCGCAACAAATATAGTCACAAAACCATATTGAAGAACTAATAATAATATAACAAAAAGTTATTAAATATAATAATTAAGTAAAACTAAAATATGGTCCTACCCATTTCTAAATATTCGGGAAATAGACTTCTTGGTCCCCAATCTAACAATTTTAAATCGCGTAACCAGCGCTCATCTTTTTCCTTGTTTGCATCAAAGCTCTTTCGTGAAAATAAGCGCGACACACCAACTTTAATAGCTAGCAACTTTCGCCAAAACAACGGCATTATAACTTCCAATATAGAGTTAAATGTCTGTTTACCAATCATAATGATTGCCAGCTGAATACAAAGTTCAGTCAAACATCCGCCAGAGGAGCACTAAATATAATCCAATTATGATAAAAACATAAACAATAAACAATAACTAAACAGTCTACATACCTCTTCTTGACGGTAATCAAATATTTTATTATACTGCCCTGGATGGCCCACAAACTTTCCTTTAAAAAACGCTATATAAAATATGGAGGCATAATAGTTAACAAATTGCAGAAGATAAATTTTTAATGTAAGCGAATCATCAAATTGTGTCTGTGTTCGCCACATTTCTAATTCTGTTAGGTACTCGGCCAAATGATTGTACATCTAGATATGCAAATTAGTTAGTAAATAAATAACAATAATTAAATCACCATTTGCTGCTTTTAAGTAGCACATGATTCATACAACACAGAGAGATTTTCTTACTTACGTAGTTTAGTATATAAAGGAGACATAAATTAACAAATGCTGCTGATGCTGTGGCGAGCACTATTGCGCTAGACGTGGTCATTGGATTTGAGCCCACTTTAAGGGCAGCTAACATTGACATGCGATAAACCACAACAGCCAATAAAGCCACAAAAGCCAAAGCTATCAGTAGCAACACAATAGAAAAACTAAACACAGTCGCAGGCAGTTTTATACGCCAAAACGGAACAGTCGGTTCTTTCATATTTGTAACATAATCTGTGCGCGTAGGTGGTATATGCTCCAAACGCGCTAAATATTGTGGACGAGGATGTTCTTCGTGTACATCAAAACCAGTCAAATCCCAACGATGAGTAATTTCCGCTGAATAACGTTTCCATAACTCTAAGAAAAGGGTTGCCCAAAAGGACATAAAAACTGCAAAAAATACAGTACTAGGATTATCTATGAGGTAGGTGATTTTTGCGTATACGCAAGTTTCTTTCAGGTCCCAAAAATTACACCAATCACAAAGCGGACACATTGTTACGTTTTTTTGATTTGTACGTAAACATATATCTTTACTGCAAATTTACATAATATAAGCGTCAATCAAATTAAGAGTATTATTATTTAAAACTACTTACACTGGTACATAATTCCGTAAAGAAGCCCATGAGTAAATAAAACAACCAACACCTACAATCGATGCCAACAGTAACATATAAGTATAAAATCCTAACCACGCAAAATAAAGACCTGCAAAAGAGATGATTTCAATTATTTTGAAAACCCCATCTTTAATTATATATAATGTACCGATTTTAACCCCAAAATACTCTTTAATGTAATCTAAGGGCTGATAGCGATACCACTTGTTAATCGAAGACCAGTGTGTATATAGTTTCTCACGCATTGTACCCTTCTCAGATATTTCACCCTGGAAGAAGATATTTGTTCAAATATTTCAAGATTAAACTTTATGGAGCTTACATCATGCAAAGGATATGCGGCACAGTAAACATCAAGAGCTACTAAACGTTCGATCCCAAATGCCATTTCATCCTTATTTTTCGTAGGAAATCGTTGGCGATCCAATATGAATTGAACAATTCGAGATCGAACAGCGGTGGTAAAAAAACAGTCCTGTCTTATATCGAACCTGAAAAGTATATCAATATTAGTTCAAAATTTTAATCATTTATATTAGACAAGACCAATTTCAGAAAATTTCATTTTAAATCTTAAAACATGTTGGTCATTATTTATTATGCGCTGATTTAAATATTTGTTATGGGGTTAAGTTTTATATTACATGTTATATGTTTTATTAAATATTATATATAAGAAGTAATTATTAAAATCAATGGTGAAAGCACTAAATAGGCAATAAATCCACTAACAGCTGTTACATTATTGTTCTTCAGTTCACAAAGTTCCTTTATCGTCCATAGATGAATTTAATTTACGATGGACACCCAGTGGATCACTTGGCTGAGTCAACATTTGAAGCAGAGCTTAGATATACAACAAGACAACTTTTGTTCAAATTAGGGCCAAAAATAAAAATAATATAAGATTTAGTGACAAACATAGTTCATTTGATAGATTTCTGTGTCCACCGTGTTATTTAAGCCACAATTTTAAAATATTACCAAAGAAAAAAGCCCAGTTATCTTAAATCAGATTTCACTGATGACACCATTTTCTTTAATTAAATATTCTTTAAATTTTGTATTTAAAGAATTATATATTACTGAAGAATTATAATTAAGTATTATTAAAACTTGGTATAATTGGCTATATAGGTAAGCTTTATTTAATATTGAATTTCGTGTGTAAATTTTCTTTTCGACAAGAAACTCTCGAATATTAAAAATGTGAGCATTTCTTTATCTATAATTCATTCCTTCCTTTGTTTTATAACCAATTTTAATTTTTTAATAATTTAATTTTGAAATTATTAAACTTATTCAAGTATATTTGTTATAATATATCTTTAAGGGTGTACATTTTAATTACTTACAAATATTCCTTATCACGACTATAGATGGCAGTAAAACGATGTGTACGCCTAGGAAAATTTTCTTCATCTGTATAGATATTACGTATGAAAAATCTAAACACACCTTTCAGACTAGAAAAAACATTTTTTGTAGAACGATTAACGACAGACATGCCCGGTATCTATAAAATACAAAAATAATTGAAATACAAAATTTTCAAGAAACTAACAAAAAAGTAACATGGAATAGCAAATGTAATAGCATAACATGGAATAGCAAACGTTGTTAAAACTCAAAATCAAACTGTTGAAACATAACACAAAATATTCGATATTATACATAATACTATATATATTTTTGGACATAGTTAATATTTATATAATTATTGAGCAAGAAGCACGAAAATAGAGCAAGTGTAAGCTTGAATAAGCAAAAGTAGCACATCAGTAGAATGTAACATATATGCAGTTATATTTTTATTAAACAAGGCTGAATAATAGTGTTAGATTTGTATATATTATATACACACAAGTATATACATGTTATATATACTTCAGATATTCAAATAATATAATTAATGTATCTTAAAAAGCAGTTTTACACCTTTCGTGAAAGATACTGTGCTGCATGTTTGAGTCGATTTGATTTTTCAAGTAATTTCATATTGCAATACAACTAAAATAAAATAAAAAGATAGAATTATTACAATAGAAAAAAAAATAAATAATAATTGCATTTTAATTATTTAATACTTTTTTTATTTAAATTACAATTGCAATAATTGCAATAATAACTATAAATCTGTATAGTACGAATCAGTACTCAATCTATATCCATTCAATTATTTTTTGTTGATAGAATGAACTAAGCAAGTCCTTTGAAATTAATAGGATAATTAACAAGGAAAATAGTATTTAATACTATCTTAGTAAAACATTATGAGTAGAAACTTGATTTACTAATATCATGTAAATTGGTGAAAACGGAAAATGCCTAAATTTAGAGCGAAAATTTTATTGTTCAGATAACCCAGTTAACCCAAATGTTGCATCTAACAAAATATAAAATATAAATATTTTTATTCTCTTCATACACATAGTGTAAATAGGATATAATCAGTTTTTCAAGATAACATATATTCTTAAAAATTTCAAAGAAATCGAATCAAGCTTGATTAAATCAACCTCCCCATATCTGTCTATCTCTCCACTTATGACTTTCAATGTTGATTAGTGTCTTAATTATTAACCCAAAAAAACAAAATTAAGCACAAGACTTTTGAAAAGAGCTGATTTTACTTAGTTTTACTTAATTAAAATTGTATTACTAAAAAGACTTGACAGATGTGGATATACCTGACATATTTTATTTAATTTGAGAAAATCTCAATATAATATCATCAACTTATAGAAATTATCATCATGGATACGAATTATGTTCCAAATCCTTAATGAATTTAATAGATTGATTCAGATTTAGTCATAGCTGCTTTATATTTTGATAGTTCATTTAACAGTTCTTATATACAAAGGCTTTGCATTTGGCTATGTATTATTCCCAGTTTTAGTATAACGATTTATTTATACTACATATTTTAGAGTTCATTGATAAAAAATTTTATACACATATAACAAATAATAGCTCATAATTTTATTAAATTATTTTATTAAATTTAGTTACTAAGCAACTAAAATTAAAGAACCAATGATATTTATTGCCAAAAATTTCTTTGATCAGAGTTCAGATTTTATTATAACGGCCATATAATCAAAAAAAAAAGTTTTAGAATTCTCAATAAGTTTCCTTGAAAGATATTCAAACTTCGGAAAAACTACAGGTTACATCATTTTTTTGTTTAATATAATAAGAACTTTTTTGAATTTTATAATGTTTTAGTAGTAGACTCTGCTTAATGATAATATATAGATCAACTTACTTCCTTCATAGGCATACGTAGTTTAAGAATTTCTGAATATCGACGTAAAACTTCCAAAGGTGCATGTATCTGTAATGAAATCGAATTCATAATTAGTAACTAATATATTTAAAATTTATGTGTTTATACTTTAACAAAATGTATTTGTTCCCTTTGCTTTGTTACGCGTTCTATCTCTAAACCCTGTTGTGTAAGGTTCTCCTCAAAGACGCGCCTTTTTTCCTCGTTTTCTGATTCAGTTTGTGGATTTTGATGTAATTTATATGCGAGCACAAAATCAATAGAACGTAGCCCATCTTCAAAGAATAATGAATAATTTATTTCCGATCTTTGGTAAAACTCTCTTGGACAACTACACTCTCTGTCGTTGTCTATGTTGAATTCAGTCATTGGCATTAATGGAGTAGAGATAGTAGAATTGTTGTGCGGATTGTAGTTCTGTTGTTCGTCGTCCGGCAGTAATAAAGTAGAAGTGGTGCTATTGTTTAGTTTACTAGCAATGAAAGAATAATCAATGAATACATATGTATGTAATAAATTGTAACAGTTTTTTAAAAAACTAAAAATATTTATTTAATGTTCGATATTCAATTTTTCAAATTTTACTATTTATATATTATTCTATTATCATAATTTTATATATTATTTATATATATTTAAAATTTATTGTACATAGGAACAGCAACAAGTTTGCTTCCTTTAGCTGCTCAAAACCGTTTGCTTCCTTCATCTGCTCACAACCGTTTGCTTGCAATCGGTCAACTAAAAAATTGAGAAGTATAAAAGCTTTTCGTTGGACCTCAGCTTCATATTTCAACACAACATACCATAAATACTACAAACAGCATTTAAACTTTTTGCACCCAACGTGCTCCTTTAAATTACAAATATCAATATCTACTGAAGGTTAAGCGATTACACACATCAAAGCATACTTGAAATACACTTTAACATATTTAACATACGGACGTGCTGTGATAACATTTTTAATTAGTTTTAATAGAACCCCTCGACAGCAGCGAGAAATTATATGGTAGCCTTGAGTTTGAAAATGCTTTGATACATTCCGAGACTCACACCAGGGTAGCTAAACATAGCCCCAATAAAATAGCGTGCCTTAAACAAATAATGAAGGTACTATGAAAATATCTACGCATATATTAAACAACATAATTCAGGGTTGCCTAACCCTCATACTGAAACCTACGTATCACATAGACATAAAACATAAACATTTTTTTTTAAATATTCTTGTGCATGTTTTTAGGGAGCGGTCGAGTCTGCGTCCCAAGACCGATAGATAGATTGATAGATAGGTACTTTGTTATTTTTTGTTTATAGTACCATTTTATAATTGATTCTTTCTAAATGTTAACATACAAACCTTATGTTATAACCCTTGTGAATTTAGTATCTTCTTTAGTATCTTTGTTTTACAAAACAGTATGGAGAACACAAGTGGAGCTATAAAGTATTTACCCAGAAATTCAGCAGTTAATTTTTTAAAATATCCCTGTCTTATGTTGTTAAGTTGTTTTTTACACATGATATATAAAGATGTTTGTAAATATTTTGGTTTCGTATATACCAGGGAGCACTCTTTTAATATGAAAATCTTATAATATTTCCATGTTTCTATGGAACCGCTGGCATTCTAAACAGACTACAGCCTATTTATTTATATAAATAAGCCCAAATTGGTTTATTACACTATTGACCAGGAGGATCTTCTGCTCTAAATCTAAGGGGCAGTGAAAGCCAATGTAGTTTAGAAGCTTGAAATATCATTTGGATTATTCAACTTCAATAATTTTCTGCCAGGTTAAGTTAGCGTTATGGGGTGGATTGCAAGTAAACTATCTCGGTTTAAGATGAAAATAATGGGGCTGCTTTTAGTTGGTAAATTTTGATGCACTATTTTGATAACCAAAATAGTTGATAGCTAGTTGACTACTCGTACAAATATCAAATGAGTACAAAAAACATAAAAAAGGATCCCAGAATGCTACATTGAGGGACTCTACTATTTATGGAAAAATTTAATGAAATAAATGATTCACATTTAACTTTAAAGTACCAACTTCGCAGGTAAGGTTCAAAAGCTAAGTATACGGTACATGATACGTGATAATATTGCGTGTCTTGCTCCACATCAAGAAGAACTGAGGTAATATTTGTGTGTATATTGCGAGTACAAGGAACTAGTTGGGAAAAGTTTTGATAACTAATAGCAGGACTTGGGCTGGAAAACTACTTCTAAGTGTTCAGCAAAATCTTTTGCTTTTTACACATATTTTCATACCCATTTCCCACTTGAATGCCTTGTTGATTTGCATCTGCTTCTATGGGGCTTAGCAATTTGGAAGATTTTTATAAGAATTTGTATAATTGCTTGTGATCTTTTTTATTTTCTAGTGCCTCAGTCAATTTTCACTCAATGTTGTTGACAATTTCTATGTTTTTGCCACTGTTGTCTTGGCCTACGTTTTTCTTAAACTAATATTTCGATATACTATTTTAAGTGTTTGCTCAACTTCATAATATTTTGTGCAAATAAGTATGAAATTTGTTACTGCTGCTCCTCTATATTCTCATTTTGACCTTAACATGGCGGCTTCATTGCTACTTCCTCAATATCGCAAAATTTTTTATTGTTTAATTAAAGTGGATATAAGTGCTTATAAATTTTTTAACTTATGCCAATCAGTTCTTGTTGATGTAAGACTTTCGTTAAAATCTACTACCCCAAGTTGTGCGATCGAATAATAAATGACAGTTGAATCGTTAAAAGACAAGGCCGAGATAAGGTTTCGTCTTATGCTTTTAATTAATTATTGCGAAATCTTAAAGATCAGCGGTTTTGTCAGCCCAGAAGTGGATACTTCCAGGTACACCATTTTTGTTTAAAATGGTGTTATATAAAAGCTTGCTCATGGGATCACAAAGTCGAGACCTTCAGAAAAGGTGTTTTGCACTGTAATCGCCAGCTGAAATTTAAGAATATTAAGAATATTAAAGAAATGATTGGATTCGATAACTAAAATAGTGAAAAGTGGTTGACCACAGATGGAACAAAATCTTAACCTTTGCTTGTAAAATTAATAGAGACGCTTATGTATAAGGTTTTCAGTTTAGCAGTGTGTTTTGCCATTAAAATTTTAAGGTAGTAAGAAGCTGAAAAAATAAATATTTAAATCTTAAATATTTAATATCAATGTTCCACACTGCAACAGACTTCGGGACTTCACTAAAAAGTATGTATGAGCTTAGTTGAGCGTAAATTCAATAGAGAAAAAGAGACTTTCCAATTGATAAGAATTCAATTTAGTAGAGCAATTGATATGCGATTTTTGCTATTTCGGTACTAATCTACAGATTATTTGTTTCAAAATATCAAGTTTAGCTGAAAAGTGCTTTTAATATATTTTAATACAATTATATAAATAAAAACAAATAAAAAAAAAGGAAAATAAAAAACAAAAATGGAAACTTGTCGCAAAATAATTGGAACTTATGGCTTTCTGATGAATACTTTTATCTGATATCTTATTTAATTACTTTTAGTAAGTAATACTGAGCGTTTTCAATTTTAACATTGAAAATGTTTACTCTCTGTGTAAATTTTCTAGTGTGATAATAGGTCTGTTCCATAAGCTACTCGTAGTAAAACTAAAGTAAAACACAAATAAAGTACAAACTAAGAGATTATTTCACAATCATATACTTTTTTTTTTGTTAAATTTATTTTAAAAAAATAACAAATTTGGGTCATTAAAGAAGTTTAATTAAATAAGACTTTAATTGGCAAAATTATGAGTATTTTGCGTCCTTACAGCTAAATTAAAATGCCAAATATTCATTTTAAAAATCTAATCAACAATGCAAATGCAAAAGCTATGTACAAAAAAAAACAGAAAATTACAACAACAACAATTATTTGTATGAGGATTGTTAACTGTTATTAAAATGGCTTACTAATATATCAGACCTTTTACCTATTAACTATACCATATAAAGATCTCAATTTTATAATTGTGCTTAATATGAATGAGCATAAATTTTAACCAAATTTTTTTAAAGCACTAAGCTTATAATTTTCTTTATTTTCCTTTCATTTTATTTAAAATTTTTGTAATATTATCTCTTATTATTTTTTGTTTTTGTTAGTAATTGTATACTTTGTAGTTTAAATATTTCAAATTTTATTACTTTAATTCAGAGAGTGTCGAACTTTTCCATTAGTTGGGCACCTTTCGAGGTGTGAATTAAGCGCGCAGCTCCTTTAAAATAACCAATATGAGCTACATGTTTTATTTTACATACGATAAACTGAGAACTAATTAATACATAATAATTCAGTCGCTTCGCAGCGATAAGTGCTGTAACGACCTTTTCCGGCCCTATCTACAGCTGGGGTATATTCAGCGAGTATACCAGGGTTCGTTATAAGAAAAAATATTTATTTAACTATGTAATTTACAGGGTCATTCGTTTAGTTTGTGGGCCTATACTTTAGCGCAAAATTTGGGCCTTACAGTGTTCTGCGAAACATGGTTTGAGAAAGTCTTCTCAATTTCTTATATATTTATTTACTATAAATTGTTATTACTTAACCAAAGCATAAAGGATATTATGCACATTATTGTACCATTTTATAGCGATTATACGGATCCCTTAAAAATTTATTTTTTATTATGAATAAAAGATATTCTTTTGAATTTATAAGCTTGGTTTTCTACTTGTATTTATTGTCCATAATCATTATGACATCCTATACGTTTTTGTGTTCTTATGATTTATACCTCTTAAATCTGAAAGATATTGAAAATCAGTGAGACTTTACATTAGAATTTTTTAAGGCTTAGGTCAGGTTTAGTAATGATGACGATTGAAATATTCATATTTCGTTCAATATGTAGTGTGATATAATATACAAATAGTATGAAGATATTAAGAAGTTCTCAACTTTTCTACACCCATGTATAGGGTCTATTGTGATACCAGATCATACCAGCGATTGTGTGCATCACTTAGGATGCGCGTTTTATAAGCGAATTTTATTAGGATTTCAACAGAAATCTTAGGTATGTACTCCAGGCCGGTAAAACTGACAGCACCCAAGTATTTTTGTCGAATTCTCGAGAGAGCCGAGCAGTTACACAGCAGATGCTCTAGAGTTTCCTTTAGAGTTTACAGGCTTCGCTGTGACATATTACATAATTATTAAAATCATTTCATTTTCAATAATACTAATTTCAAAAATAATACACAAACAAATACAACAGTCTTACAATTGCTATACTTAGCATTCATCGGAGATACTACTCACTATTATCAACTAAACTTAATCTTTTAATTATCTCAAGAAGTCACCCCATTCGTAAGGACCCGATTTATGATTATTAACAATTGCTTCCAAAATTTCTATCCATGTTGCCCTTAAAAACCACTTTTTACTTTTCTTTCCAAATCCTCCTCATAGATCCATATAGCATGAGAATAGCAAAAGGTTCTGCAAAGCTCATCATCCATCTTATTCCAACCTAATATCTTTGTAAACTACGAAAAAAAAATAAATTCATATCCATAAATGCCTTCACTGCGCTACAAACAGCTAGACAAACTTTTCTCACAATGTGTGCATAAAAAGCAAAACAATAAATTGTTTAAATAAAGTAAATATTGATAACAGTGTAAACACAATTAAAGAAAAGATGATTTGAACAGGAAACAAAAAATTAAACACTTATTAATGTATCCTAGAATCGTTATACGTTTGATCATACGAACCCAAAAATAAACCATTCTAGCAAACAAGCAAAAAATACGAAAATATTGGACACAAATAACATTTCTCTGTATATGTATGTAATTGTGTAAAAATGTTGTACATAGTCGAATATCAATTGTAAATTGTAAGCTAACGAATAATTTGCGAATCGTTGAATGATCCAATATCTGATATTCTGAGATACATCCACATCAAAGCAAACGCTTGCGAACGAACGAACTTTTGCAGGTACCATTGATAGTTTACATTTGTATAAATTATTATTGTAACAATAATAATATTATAAAATAATTGTAATACCCAAACGAATCAAGTGCGAATCAGTGAATGTTTGCGTGTAAAAGTGATTGTAAAGAAATTTTATGCAATTAAATTTATCACAATTGTGTGGTATAGACATTTATACAATCAACAGCCAACTTCCTTCCAACTTCGAGTTAGTATTTAATGAATAAACGAATTCTTAAGATTTTTAGGGAGATCGGATTAATGTGTTTATACTCTGTGTATACACAATAAAATGCAGCATCAAAACATTCGTTTTTGCGGTCATACGTTTCATTCTCAAATGTGTACCATATTTACAAATTATTTCTAAAGCGAATACGAATGAATGAGAGTAAACAGTCCGATGGAATGGAATGTGTGCTGCATTCGTTTTACTGGAGTGATCGTTAATTTATTCTCCATAATCGTATGTTTTGAATTTTAAAATCAAATAAACAAATACTTTGAGAGTATTTTAATCACTTTGAGAGTATTTCAAATAATTTTAATTTTGCAAAGAAATATTTTATATATTTTGTGTGCGTTCGCCTCACATATTTACCTTTCCCTAGAAAATATTTTTATGCATGAAATGGTGAAAATATTTATTTGTGTCTTCTTAAGTCAAGAGAGATTTTAAGAATGTTTAGAAATTGATTCAGTTTATAACTAATATAAAAATATCTCCTTGAATTTGTACTCAGTTATATTGTATAGATTTTTATATAAATATGGAATTTAAGTAGAGATCAATAACACAACAATCTTAAAAAAGAGGAATTAAGTCAGACGATGCTAAACATTTAATTTGTATATATTAAATTAAATTTGTAATTTGTAATATTTTATATATTAACTTTAAAAAACAAAACAAAAATTAATATAGAGCATTATTTTTTTATATTAAAACTGTAAAAAAACCATTTATATTTTTTTAAAATAAATATATTAGTATTGTCAACATTTTAAATAATATTTAATTAAGAAAACAACTTAAATAAATAAATTTGTGTCTTACTATTTAAAAAGACACATTTTTGCATGAATTGAAAATCAAATGCTTAGAGTACTCCCAACTACTTAAACTACTTTTAGAATCTTTAGAGTTAGAGTACTCCAAACAAACGAAACTAATATTCATTCCATTCCATTTTGTTTTTACGCCTATTCAGTCGTACTCGTTCGTTGAGAGTGAGATTATGCTACCATTCTCAACACAATAGAATGCTTTGCAACTAAAATCAAATGTGTGCATGCAGTACTTTAATGCACAAGTGCGTTCCACCCACGGTTGCCACTTATGGTACTTTAGTACCAAAATTGGTACTTTTTTTTTTTTTTTTCGTTTGGTACTCACTTTCAAAAAATGGTACATTTTTGACGACCCAACTTTATTGTGGATATTTCTAATTAATTTTTTTTATAAATGCAACTTTGCACTATTTTATATTTTGTTCATTTATAACACTATGAAAAACACAGAACGAGAAAACAAAAAGGTCCAAAAAAATTTTGGACCTTTTTTTACAGAAATGGTACCTTTTTAAACCAATTTTGGTACAGAAGAAAATTTTCAAGTGGCAACCGTGGTTCCACCAGCAAATTTTCGAGTAAATGAGAGCACCTAAGTGAGCGTAACATCCCTATCGAAATTTTAAAATACTACACAAACTTTACTCGTACATTTTATTTTAAGTAAAATTTGTGTCGAATTGTGAATCAGCTGTTTTGGTTTGAATTCAAATTTTTATATTGTTCATTTGTGCAGCACTAGTATTCTCACCAGATTTTACACAAAGCTGTTCCATGAAAATCTGTGTAAAGAGCATAATTTGGCACTTTATTTGTGTTACGCTCTCAGTTTGTACTGTACTTGTGTTTTACTTGAATATTGCTACGAGAAGATCGTGGAACAGACCTATTAGCGACTGTCAGTTCTTCCAATATATAAAATATTGATTTAAAGTAACAAAATTAAATCAAATTTATATTACATATTTTAAATATTTCTATACAACAAATTTTTATTTTATTTTTTTATTATTTTTTTAAATAATTTTTTAACAAATTTAGTCACATTTTGTAATAACAGAAGCCACTGTAAAACTTTTATGCAAGAAAAATTATTTGTTTACACCAACACATCGAATACGATAATCTTCGAGTACTAATAAGTACGGAAGACAGCAAAACTCGATGTATTTCTTAAAATAAAATTTTTATATATAAATGATTAAATAAATAAATAATAAAATTTAGAAGGAAAACTCTATTCAGACAGTCAATGAAAATTATATAAAAAATTAAATATAAAAACAAGTGAATGGATGGAAATTCATTTATTCTGTTATTAATAATATAAAATATACTAATTAATAATAATTGATTATTATAATTTATACAATCAGCTACGGAATCCGAATAATATACAACCAACACACCGGCTTCACAGATGATTAATCGCAACAAAGGAAAAAAATTTCACATCATTATTATCTCGAAATGCAACAGCCACTTTTTCGAGCACATAATGCCACTAATAATCAGATTTTTATGAGTAAATTCAAAATATATTTATGAAATATAAAAAGCATTTAAAAATTGCCTAAATTTTTACGTTTTTTTGGCACCAAAAACCGCCGCAACACATAACGCTTGTGAACTCAACAAGCGAACGGAACAGAAAGCACTGCGGCATCTCAAGCGAACGCAATTACTCAGAAATTTGTAGCTCAGCTCTTGCATGCACTCGTGGCTTTCCGAGAAATTTGAAAAACCTTGCCGCCTCAGACAAGAATCACTTTTGTGTAGCGTAGAAGTGAGTCAGTGGAAGGCAATTGTTTATATTTTTATTTAATATTTAGACAGACATACATATTGGATAAGTATATGACTTTCAAATTGTTAATTTGTTTAAAAGTGAATGAGTAAAATAAGTAGAAATAGCTAAAATTGTTTAGTAGAAGATCTTCCCAAATAAAATGCTCTAATTTAAATAAACGTTAAATTAAGACTGAAAAGCATTTTAATCCAATAATGCGTTTATTGCAATTCTTAATTTATTAAATATTTTAAACTCTGTACATTCTAAATTTTCGATTTTTAACTTTTTAAGATCCAGATAAAGAAAAATGTTCAACGGAAAGTGTTTTCAATAACCAAATATGCAGACTGTCCAATGTACATTAATGCCCATTATTCATAGCTTTCACACGCATTCAATTCGTCTCATCTTTTCGTTCGATTAGTATCCTATCTGAATCTGAACAAACGAAAAAACTACGTCAAAAGACATTGTTAGGTCCAATAATTGTCACATCTGTTTACGTTAAATGAAGAGCATTGCTTCAGGTATACAAAATTTTAATTATTATGATTGATATTTTATTATCTCCAAAATAAAAATGTAAATAATGAAAAAAGACAAGAAATTCTGTTAGCAATAAACAAAGCGAAAAAGAACGTTATAGGCATATTCACAGATGTCCTGTAAAGCAAATTAAAATTGTGAACCACCATTAACAAAATACATAATTCGATATTTGTTTGTGGCACACTGCTTATCTTCCTCCAATAAATTTGGATCAATTTTGCTTGCCTACCGCAAAATGTAATCATGGATTTCGTCTATGGACCACAACTGCAGAAGCAGGTGTTGAAAGGAAGATACTATACAAAAAGCTATTGTTCTCAGAAGTCGTCAGTGTGGATATCTTCTGCTTTATTTCTATAAACAAAAATTCCAACAAGTGCGAACGTGGTACTTCTACTTGAAGACAATTACATAGAGGCTCAGGTCAACTGTATTTTTGCCCATCGGTTAAACTTAAAATTTTTTTTTGTTTTTTAATTTTTTATCTTAAAGTACTCTAATGAATAATGAAATGATATATTCTTCAATGAGAAAGGAATAATATATACATAAGTATATATAATTGTATTAAAGATAGTTCAATTATATTATACATTTTAGATTCTTTATTGATACTGGTTCAAAATAATAGAAAAACATAATTTCATAATATTATATAAATTACATTAAATTGAAAGAATTTTTACTAAAAATGATAGAGACCTGGGATTTCGTACAACAATCAAAATCTAATGTTTAATGGTAAAAAGCTTATTAGAATTTCATTTTTCAGTAAATTTCATAAAAATTCTGTTACGTTTAGTAACATATCATGCATCATTTGCATGATATCGTATGATATTTTGGAAAAATTTTAACAAGAATCACTCAACAGAATTGAGGTTCATTTTAAACAATCTAATTTTAATTACATGTTTAATTTTAATTTAATAAAATATAATTTTATTTAAAAAAAAACAAATGATTTCAAATACAAAGGCTTAATAATTCATATTTTAATTACCTATAATCTGTATGGTTTCCGCTTAATCCGTTTTTAGACCTTTGAGGATCACTCCAGTTATGTGTTCCACTTTCATTCACATTTTCGACACTTCGCTCGGTTTGCGTGAAAGACGTGTTGGAATTATCATTCCTTTTCCTTGTATTAAGATTTAAAGTTGACTTACTAGATTTTTCGTGACAATCAATTATTTCTACATTAAACGGAGCCAGTGGTGCGGTATAAGGAGGCTCAAAAAAGCGCGCCACTGTAGACTCCTCATCAGTTTCTTCTATTTGATCAGCATCAGTTGTCAAACTTTCACTTTTGTCTTCATTCTTCGCATTCTGATTTCCATTGTTGTTCAACATTGTAGTTGTATTCGTTGCTTCTGACTCGCTTTGCGGTTGGAAATCTTTTGGCAACGCATTTGGTTCCTCCACATCGGCTTCTAATTTTAGAATTTGTCGTTATTTTTCACATATAATTATAATATTCATAACATTTCATTCTCAACTAGTTGCTAAAATTAAACGTACCCATTTTGATTATATTTATAACACATACATCACATAATTGTTGGGAAAATTTTTATTCGCATATTTGCTTATCAATTTTTTCTCACAAAATTACAACCTTTGCATTTATTTTATATCTTTTTAAACTTTGTATTAACATTCAACGAAACTAAGCACATAATAAAGCAATTAAAAATAAAAATGATTAATTGTATGGATTATATATACACACGCATCAAGTCGTCATATGCGTTCCCATTTCCGAACCACGTAATAAAAGCATCCACCGATTCAACTTCAAATTGCCGTCTAACTAACAAACGAAATGCATTATAAAAACAATATTTACATCATATGTTTAATATGGCAGTGTTGCAGGTGGTATATTTAGTCTCTAAAATATCAGCTGACATATTAACCTTCTGAACCAGAGCATAAGGTATTCAAAAAGTAAGATATTCTATGTTCTATTTGCCTGCTGTTTGTTTACAAATTATGTTTCAATATTTTGTTTATGAATCAATGTTTTGATTAGTTGATTATTTTGTTTTCCCCATTGCTAGCTACATTTTTTATTAATTAAGTTACATTTTATTAACACAATTACGTTCCAATATATTCCATATTCTTAGTGTTCGTTGATTAGAGCATTGTTTTTTGGAACGCAACTGATGTTTGTATTAGTGATGTTCACTACTTTTAAAGGTTAGATATTTGTATTTGTTATAAAATGTTTAAGTACATTGTGACATGTTCAGACAATGCAAATATTTTTATTTAGAAACAGGTAATTAATTTAAACATGTATTCATTGAATATAAAAATATGCTGAATCGATATTATCATATGATTTTATTTACGCATGTCTGCTCCAGAGCTGATTAAAATTAAGTTATCTCAAAAGCCTATTCACTCACAGCAGAAGTAATTATAATTTGTATTATTCGAGTTTCTTCGCAAAAAACTAGATTAATTTTTATTTTTTGTTCTTGTAGTCGCGTTCGTAAATGAAAATGCCAAACGTTTAAGCATTGCTTTGTTTAGTTCTGCTTTAATTTACTAAATTTATTTGTAAGATCGCTATGCAATTATACTATTAAAATTTGTACATATTACAAATCCAAATCACTTTTAATTTTGGTCATAGGATTTTTGTATGGATTCGAAATGTAATTTCAAGTTGGTATTATAACTAGACAATACAATTTGTTAAGATTTGACAGTTTTATTAATTTTATTTTTATTTCTATATCATAAAACTTAAATAAACAAATAAAATAAACATTACTTTCGATGGCATCTCTGTACAAAATGGAAATTTTGTTAAGCTTATATATGCAAACCAAGTACAAAAATTTAAAGTTAAATTTTCGAAAATGAATAGAAATTTTTTGAAATTATTGGTAAGAATATTTTTTTTACATGATTGTGAATAAAATATGAATTTTAATGCCTTTTAACAGTAAAATAATAAATAGAAACAATAACGTATTTGTTACGAACAATAACGACAAGAAATACGAATAATTAACGAAATCATTCGTTAAGAGTTAACTGGAAATTTTGTATGTACTTCCAAAAATCGTTCACAATAGACGAGTTTTTAATCTTGGCAACCATACTATTTAAGCTGCTTATTAGTTAAGCGATTCCAAAAAGGTTGGACTAAATAAGCCGGCAGTGTTGTTATTTTATATGTTATTTTTAAAATAAACAGTTGTTCCTCTGTGATATGGTTACAAAAGAAAAGGCCTAATAATGACATATATTGTGGAAAGTTAGAAGTTATTTTCTATATTTCCAACAACGTTCAATATTCCAGAACTGTAACTTTTTGTCAGAACGTTATCTACTAATTTTTAAACTTTTGTTCTATAAATTATCATTAATGCTATGTCAGTTAATAATTTTCTTGAGTATAGTTTATTATATACATATGTACTTTTTATAAATAAGATTTATATTTTTTACGATTCTGAGGAAAATGTGCAATACTGGATTTAATTGTAAACAGAGCGAAAACGTTTATTTTGACGTTTCTGTATTTTATTTTGGGTATGTTCAGTTGCTAAACAAATACTTTTTTTAATATAAGTACCTCTGAAACAAGAACGGAGAGCGTTTAAATATTTTGTTGGGAAAATATAATATATAATGTTTAATATAGCAGAGAAAAAGTTGCTGTTACCACAACCAAATTTTTTAGATGGAGCTTTAAATTGCTCCACTATTAAGCTGAACAAGAAAGAAAAACCTCAAAAATGTATATCACGTGCGACTTCCAATAACATTGATAACACCAAGAAAGAGGTAGGGAAACGATGTTTTTTTTTTATTTCTGAACATGTTAAAATATAAAGTTGAACATTTTCTTGCAATGACAGAAACATAAATCACAAAAATTGGAAGAACGGTTTTGTGACGCTTGTGAAATGCAATTTGAATCAAATGACTGCTTCCTAGAACATTGCTCACAACACACACTCTGTAGAAATGAGAATTGTACTTACATGTTACATCCTACAGCAATGGATAAACACGTTAGAATATTTCATTCTGGTTTATTAGACAAGGTAAAAAAACTAAGCACTCCTGAAGAAATAGCAGCATGGCGTAAAGAACGTTGCGAAAAGTATGCAATTCAATATCATATAATATTAATATCATATATTAAAAATACGATTTTTGTATTAGATATCCAACTCTAAGAAATATACAGCTGAAGGAAAAAGCAGAGGAACAGCGTTTAAGACGTGGTGAAAGATTAAATGATAAAAAATGCCGATTTTTAAGCCGCACAGATCGGAAACGTTTGCAAAATGGAAATATGCCTATGGGAAAAAATGAAGTAAATAAAGTCAAAACTGAAAAAAGGCATCAAAAGCATAAAAACAAACCTAAAGTTGGACAAGTCAATGAGGTTAAGCAATTACACTTAGAAAGGTTCAATAAGAGTGAAGAAATTGAAAATAAATGTGGTGATGTGGTTATGTTTACTGGTACTAGCAAACTTCATAATTATTCACACTCTGTTTCAAACACAAACAAAGGTTCGAACATTCTATCTACACTTCTTGGAATGTACCATTCCGAAGACGAATCAATAGAACATTCAAGTTCTGACTATGAAATGGATGAAGAACATATTCATAATAGCACAAAAACTTCCACAGACAAACTGCAAATTAAAAATGATTGCAATAATATGGCGGATAAAACTTTAATTTTAAATTCATGCAAAGAAAGCACTTCTTGTATAGAATCTCTTACGAATCAGAAAAGGATAAATGAGAATAAAAATTATAGTTCTGATAAACAATTAACTAGTGACACTGATGACGCTCCAGATGAAATACCAATTTCGCATTCGTGCAATGGCACCAATTTGCCTACAAATTTAATCCCCTCAAAAGTCCAAAAAAAGGATGAAGATTTGTGTTTAACTTCAATCAGTCGGATGACACGAACTCCAGTTAACCAAAAAAAATTTAAGCGCAAAATCGGATTGGACTACAGAAAATTAAAGGCTACTAAACCAAATACTCTACTTGGAAAACTTTTGGAATCAGAAGTAAGACATGAGCGAAATATACTCTTGCAATGCATTCGATTTGTATGTGATAATAATTTTTTTGATTTAAAGTAAACTAAGTTAATCTAAAGATTTCGCAATTTTAATAGATAATATTTCTATAATTTTTGTAGGCATATGTTATTTTAATATATAAAAAGTAATCATTCTTTTTATATTGCAATCTAAATTAATCATTTTAACGAGATTTTGTGCTTTTTTGTTTAAATAAATTATGATAAGTACATACGTTTTTTTGAAACTATTACTAAAATTGTGTTCAATGCAAACTATTGCGGCGGCTGTCATTATGTTTCAAAACCTTTTAAATGGACATTTTGCATAGAAAACTAGCAATTGCCTTTTTAGTAAAACTAGCAATATTTTAAACTAACAATCATGGACTAAACCTACTAAAATAGAAAATTAGCTAGAAGTGTTAAGAAAAAGCCAAAACGTTTTGGCTGGAATTTGTCGTTTCTCTAAAATATTCCAAAGAAATCCTGCTGTTGATGTTGAGGGTGTTGATGATGATCATCCTGAATAGATGAAAACAGTATTTTCGTTGTTGATTTGGCCATGCTCGGTTCTCCTGCAGTCCTGCACAGCTAATAGATCTAAGTTGTAGCCTGTCGTTTCTTTCCAAAGTTTGTTTAGTTTTACGTCTTCAGTAAGTGTTCTTACGTTCCACATGCCGAATTTTATACTTTCTTTTATTCCGATATTTGGTCGTTTTATACGACGTTTTTGAATAGTGTTTTTTTCATTCATCATGATTCTCGTACATGGATTTGACAGCTCTAAAATCCTTGTGCCTGCTGCCGAAGGATTTATCATACTATGCCCCCTGCAGTAATATTAACGTTGTTGTATTCTTTCATATTTGATTATCAAGGTTTCTGATTATCAAGATGGGTGATGGGCCCAAGGACTCCAAATGAACACATTTATACAGCGAACCGCTTAATACAAGTCAGACGCCTACTGCAGCGAGGTGTTGATGAGCTGCTAAATCTCGGCGAACCCTTAAATCGAATATGTCGAAATGGCCCCACCAAGACTCATTCTCTCGTTTGCTGTGACCTAGAGCTCCACATAGGTTGGTTAACTTATCTCGCTTATACGTTGCTCACGTTGCCTAGGTAGCACGATGGACGTGAAAGTGTGAATTGCATGGGTTATGTGCTGTTATAAAAATTGTCAACATAGAAAATACACTAAATGCGTTATATAGCCTGAAAATATAGATAAATAAAATTTTCTAAAGAAGAAAAAGAATTTGAAAAACTACCAAAACTTGATGCATTAGTAATTAAACAAAAAAATAAACTTAAAATAAATTGGTATTAAAAAACCTACAAACATTGGACCATATTTTAAATTAAACTATCAACATCCTTATTATATAATTCGAAACACAACTCTAAATTTAATTGGACGTGTATTAAACATCGATTCAATTTTTCACAATGAAAATGAGAATCATCAAACTCATATGCCCAGAAAAAAGTCAACAAAACTTCGAAACGTCGGTTTTATTAAATGAAAAATATTAAAAACTTCACACTTTGTATTTTAAGTTCCATTAATTCAAGCATTTTAAGTTGTTTGATTACTTTGTTTGTTGTACTAAAGCCTATTGCCAACGTTTTAATTCTTACTTTGTTTGTTGTACTAAAGCCTATTGCCAACGTTTTAATTCTTCGACGAAATTTTCAATTCTTTGAAATAAATTTGTTGAGAAATCATAGCTGGTATCAGTACTTTTTGCAAATTGTAAAAAATTCACAAAATATTAAAAAATATGTTATACTACGTTTCCACTACGTACTTAGTAAGTCATATAGTAACATTGAGCTTTTTGCGTTTACATTATCATGAGTTACTTAAGAAATGGGAAAAAGCTTTTATGTGTCAAAAAGTTCTAGTTTTAGAACTTTTCTGTGTTTACATTTTAATTGTAAACAGATGATATTAAATGTTGTATTTTTAGAAGAAAATAAATCAGCATGGAAGAAAAGACAGAAAATTTAAATAATTTAATATATAATGTTTGTAATATTTTCCTAATATAAAAGCGGCAGTTGCTGCATATACAAAAAAACAAAAAATTACAAATTATTCAAAATCAAAACATCTTCAATGATAACTAAAAACGGGCAGTAAATATTATTAAATAAAGAATAAAATTTTACTGCATTGCTATTTTAGATAAAAATGAAATCCGTATGTCGGTTCTGAGAAGACAACAGGGGGCTTCAAAATAAGTTTGAACACTAAACAACCACAATCCAAATAGAAAAGAAATAAGGCGATGTTTAGTTCAAATTTTCAGTAAGTTTTATTTTAACTAATAGCTAATAATAACACTTATAACTTATAAATTAAAAATAAAAACAACAAAAAATATATACTTATATATTTTTCATATAATTAGATTATATATAATTATAAAATTTATAAAAAATTTATATTATTACATTTATAATTTTAATAATTTATAATATATTAAAAATAAAAATAAAAAAATATAGTCGGTTATCATTGATTTTCCTTTTCTTTGTAGGTCTGTTCTTTTTTGACTTCAAAGATGTTGATGATAATGTTGACGATGCTGACAGTAACGGTGAGGATGACTAACAGAAATTAATTCGAAGGTGTTGACAATATGCAAGTTCTCCAAAATTCTATACACGTTATTGACAAACTTCCACGATGACGGAGCCTCTGTTGAAAACCACAATACATTGCTGATTTTTTCTGTTTTAAAATAAAAGAGAAAAGTAGTTAACATAACATTAACTATTAAATAAAACATCTAATATTAATCGTAAAAGATTATGTGGTTTTAATTACAAAAAAGTATTGATATAATAGAAATTTCACTTATTAAACACTTACCTAAAATGTTGGGTGAAGTGCACTTTCGTTTGACGCGGTTACCATAAAACCCGTTTCACCTTTTTCATCGAAGAAGATTTTCCTCCTATAGTTCTACGGTTCCACACGCATTCCGGGTAATATTTTTTTGTTTTACATTAAACAGAATTTCAAATTTATAAATCAAACTTTTGAGACTCAATTATTGCTTTTCTAATGTTAACCTGAAATAAATAATTTTTATTAAATAATATACCAAATTTTACAATTATATTAAATATATATTTAATAAATAAACTTATTTTTATGTATTAATTATATATTTTATTTATAAAGAAACAAATGTTTAAAAAAATTCTTACCTGTTGTTTGTTTTGAATTTTGAATGTTTGTTTATGTTTACATTTTGTTTCATGTGTCAAATATGTCAAATTTCGATCATTTCCAATGTTGCATTCGTCATATTTTGTATAAGTTTAGTCGAATTCGTTTACTATATTGTATAGTAAATGAAAAAGCACGGAAGCTCTTTGTATGGCTAATGTAATTTACTCAGTAAATGAAGCTTACTAAGTACGTAGTGGAAACGTACTATTACCGTACAACCCTCACAATTTTCATTGTGAATAGCTCCTTATGATTGCAATCACTGTCACTAACTGTTGTTGCTTTCAATGCAAAATTAAAATTGGACACTGACAGCTCACTTCATTTTGCAATTACATCAAAAGTATCGAATGCAACATTACAAAATATATTTGACAAAAGGGATATCAGTGAAATTTGATATATTTCACACTTGAAACAATATATAAATAAACAAAAAAAAACAAATAAGAGGTAATAGCACATTTACACTGTGTCAGTTAGGCGTTTTTGCTCATTATAGCCACTAATGAAGATGAACCACCACACAAATCTTTCATATAAAATAAAGATTATTATCAATAAATTATCTTATTTAAGGCGAACAGTGTCGAATGGAATCCTTAAAAAGAATTTCGTACAAGGAAAATCACCAAAATTTGAAATATGTCATGTGTTTTATAAGTAAAATATAAACAAACAACAGCTAAGCTGTAAACAAGGAAGTAACTAAGGAAGTAAGTATTTAATAAAATCTTTGTTTCTCTTAATTGAATATGTAATTGATATAAAAAAGTGTATATAAATGATTTATTATATCAATTATATATATAATTTTATTGTGTGATATATTAAGCAATGTTCATAAAAGTTCTATCAACTGCATAAATGAGCTCATTATAATGTGAACGGTCAGTCATGAATATTTAGTTGTTTTGTTCAGCTTTTTTATTTTTATTGTCTACTATTGTGAAAACTTCAGTTGATCTTTTATTGAACGTGTGCGCAGATTTTCCTTAACTTCTTTTACATCTACTTTCTGCTGAAACGGTCTTCTGCTGAAATTGTGTGTTAAGCTTCGTTGTCATGTCAATAAGTTGTTTGTTGTTTGTTTTTCAGTTCAAAAATCGGCACCAATTGTATCGACCTCAACATCCGCGACGATAAATTCAATAATTCAATTGTGTAGTTTCCAAAGGTAGTTGGTTGACTGCCTAAAGCAAAACTAAAAATATTTCAACAACGTTTATCAATCTCTTATCGACCTACTTAATAGTATGAAATACAATACTCCACAATTGCTGGCAGGCGCTTTATCTGGACATCGTCCATGTTTCTTCTATAATTGCGCTCTAAAATTTTGGATACAACCCCTTGTGCTTAGTGAGCAATTACTACCTAGCAAGAACATCTTTCCTTCTTCCCCTCACTCGTTTTCAAGTTTGGATTAGATACATTTGTTGTGTAAATGCTAAGTCATCTGCATTTCAATGGTTGAAATTTTTGTTTTTTTTACCTGCTGTTTGGTTTTGCATTATATACTCAATTATCGTTTGTTAATTTTGTAATGGAAATTTTGTAAATTCACAATAAAGTTTTTTCTTCTTGTCATATGTTCTTTGCTAGCACGTATCTATTTTAACTTCTCCATTCAGAATCACAATAGTTAAATTTGTGTCAAATAAAAAAAACAGTCCTGTAAATCATTTTGTATTGCTAAATAGAAAGCAGAAGTGAATAAAATTTGTGTGGAATAAGCAAAGATTTCGTGGAACTGTTTGTAAATTATTAGGTAGATTTAGATTTAACGACTTCTTGAAATGTGATTATAATATGATTTACGTTTTTTAGTTGAAAACAATGACGACTGTTGTAAAACGCGGGAGAGGACGTCCCCGAAGAGAAGAGCCACAAGAAATTGAAGAAGCAGACATGTTGTTAGTTCAGGAATATCAAAGACGACCAGTGTTTTACGATCGAACTCATCAGCACTATCGAGAACGTGATTTCGTAGAAGAACAGTGGATTGATATGGCGTGTAAATTACACAGTACTGGTAGGAGATATTTTTATGAAATTATACTTAAAAAATAACATATTGTTTGTAGTCGGTATTATTAAAGAAAGGCTTAACACATTACGAAGTCGTTATTACTTAGAAAAACGGCGCGTCGAAAGTACAGGTGTACCATCAACATGGTTACTTTTTGAACATTTATCATTTTTGGGACAACACATAAAGTCAAGACTCGCGAATGCCCCCGTGCAATTGATTAATAATAACGGAACACTAGCTGAAGTGAGGTAAATCTTTTATACACACACACACACACACATGTAGAAACTAATATTTTTTCTATATTATATTTGTTTATTATAGTGATTATGATGATTATCAAAACATGCCCTCATCTGAGTAAGTATAATTAATATTATTGTTTAATTAAACTTATTTGTTAATTTCCGTTTTGAAAAAATTTTTTAAGCAAAGATATTTGAGTAATTGTTAATCATTATATAAATAGGTTCATTCTAACTTTTCATATTATTATTATTATTATTATTATTATTATTATTATTATTATTATTATTATTATTATTATTATTATTAAAACATAACACAATTATTTTTGTTCCGCTCTATTACCGTTTTCCTCCACTTATCAATTTTCCTATTTCTCTGATCACTATTTTCCATTTTATTCTGTGCCATCCTTGCCTTGTAGATGTCATTTCAGCATTCCATTTTGCTTTTTGTTCCATAAGCGTGCCTTGCCAATGGTTTTATGTCATCTTAATTTTAGGATTTGATAAAGACATCTGTTATGAAATATTTGCAGCTTAAATAAGATAATAATGCTAAAAACTTGACAAACATTAAAATTCATTCGTTAGCTGAAACAGTGCCAGCCTAGTACTCAAATTGTATGAGTAAAGAAACTGCAATGAGTACCAAATGCAGTTTCTTTAAATTATGAACGATGAAGCATTATTAGCATTTATTCTTAGACCTAATATTAGTCCAATCTTCTCACATTCAAAATACATATTTGTAATTTGCAAGTAAAAAGGACTTTATTGATCCGAAATAAAAGTCAGATTCAAATGTCGGCATATTCTAACTCACCCAATTTATTTCGAGAACCTAAAATGTTGTTCTAACCCGCCGGGATCTAAAAGCAGATAACATGTAAAGATTACAAGACGCATTCATGGATTGCAATGTGGAGGGGTGGTGTTTGGGGTAATAGTAGTGGGAAAAAGAAAGGATGAAAAGAGGATAAAGGATGTGTGGGATTGTAATAGAAAACAACCCGGATTCAGAAGAAGAAACCTAGCCACTTCAAGAGGATGAGTCCAAAGATCAATTGGACTAATTTTTCTTTTAATGATAATGTAATTCAACTAGAAAATATTAATTTAAAATCAATGAAATATGTACTATAATAGTTGTAAGTTATTTATGTTAATCAATTCAGTAAGCATATGTATTTACTTATATTATTTTGCCATATATAAAAAAAACGTTAATGTTTCCAATCACATCCTGTAATTTTTTTATATATATTATTTTTATTATTATAACACTATAAAGTCTATGATTTTATTTTAGAAATCAGTCTATTAAAGTACGGGGATCTAATTTACCTGGATATCATATTGCACAAAAATTAAATATTTCCAACGATGTTAATGGAAATTCTACACCGAATCTTTGCTCTCAGCTTAAGATCCGAAATGATACCAAAAAACCTTATTCAAAAACAAAGTACAAGGCATTTGGAAATTTTGTGGCCTGTTCTTTAATTCATATGGAAGAGAAAGATTCGATGAGATTGATGGAAAAGTTTGCTAATGAACTGACTAGATTAGCTTTTGCAGAAGGCAAATAAATAATACATTTTATATTGTTATGTAGAGCTGTATAAGAATAACGTAATATAAAATATTAATATTAATAAAAAAATTAATAATTGAGTACATATATTTACATATTGTTTTTGTTGTATTTCTAAAATATATTTAACTTTCGGAGCTGATTTCGCAATCGTAACTTAAGTGTCAATACAGACTTAAGTCATGCTTAAGTCATCAACTTTGTTGACTTAATTCATACTTAAGTCAGATTTAAGATTAACGCTACGACTGTAAAGTTGTCAATTAATCTTATAAAATAACGCAATTTACTTGTTAAATTATCTGCTTAGTAGATAATTATAACTTGAGTTGGAAAAAAATATGAATCAGATTAAAAATAATATTTAGTCTCTATCAACTTAACCAATTATAAAAAACAATTGCAAAAATATCATTCTCATATATAGTCGAAAAAATTTTTAATAAAAAAATTTTTAATTTTAATTTAATATGTGAAACAAATATAAATATCACATCATAATATCTGTAGACTTCTGTGATCTTATGCGATTAAACTAATAAGTTATATTTCTATGAAAAATAATAATGCACAATATTCCTAAACTAAATTTAATTTACTTTCCTTAATTTTAAAAATTGTGTTTCAGAAAAAATATTTTTCGTGTGAGTTTTTTAAGTATTTTTTAAGTTTACATCATCCGAATTTGACTGATGAAATGGAAAAGTATACAAATAGTTTTTGCCTAATGTTAAATTTATTAACATTACAATTTTATAAATTGTATTTCTGCAATTTTTGCTAATTCTTCAAGAGAAACAAAAATACGTTGGGTTTCGCATAATTCTAGAGTACCTTCGAGACTTTCAAAGCCAAGCACCTTATTCAATTTATCCGAATGATAGAATTATGAAAGACTGCCTCTACAATTTCAGCTAGATGAAGGAAGTAATCTTCCTGAGTAGTAAATTGTAATAACAATAGTAATGACAACAAAAGATTCTAAATTTTATTGTGCATATAAGAATTTGTGCTTACCTGTGTGATCATCGTAGATCATTTATATATCATATAATTAATTGACTTTTTTTCCATAATTAATTTTAATTTGTAATTTCATTTAATTGTAAAAACGAAAAATGAAAACTTTTACAAAATTCCTATAACTAATAAAATAATAAAAATAATATATTTGTAAATGCATAAATTTTAATATTGTGAAATTTTTACATATTGTATATTTTATATAAGAGTCTTAATTTTTTTAATTTTTATATTTTTTATCGGGCTTAGGTCGTTTATTTAACACATAACTTATAATTTTTATTAATATAATTTCTTTAATATAAATTAAAATACTAATACAAGTTATTAAAAATGTAAATTTGTTATTTAGTTATTAAAAAATGTAATAAAATAAAAGAAAATAAATAAAGTAAAATAAAACAAACAATAAATATCGGACGCACCAAATCGCATTAGCAACAACAAATTCTATTATTTCTGTGATTCACGTTTATTTGCATTTTGTGCTCTCGCTTTAACTTTCGCTCACGAAGTCTTCGAATAGTTGCACTACGAATAATAATCGTAAATCCGGACATTCGAAGATATCGGATTTAAAAAAAAAACTCTAATTTTTATTCCTACTCCGGAGACTTCGTTTACTATCCGATTAAAAATCCACTCAGATTCTCCTAATAGTTCGTAAAACCGAATACGAACACCGTATTTATAATTTATTCGTCCATCTACACTTTTGTACCAAATTTAGTTTTTGAAAAAAATTTGTATCTCAATTCCATTAAATTTGTACAAGCATTTTTATTTAAAATTTAAATTCTCAAAAAAAACTTCAAATAAATTATCCTACCATCTCAATAATCCCATATCAGTTGAGTATATGATTTCTTTGGGATAATCAATACTCTACTATATAGTCAACAACAACATTTAGTTATAGAATAGAAATAAACAGGGTATGAGCTCCCAAGCGAGCGTATTACAGCGACCATGGTTGATCTTTTGTGCTGCAACAGACCCTAACCGAACAGAAGACATTCTGCCTTCCGAATGAAAGCCAGAGTGTCAGCCATTGAGGACCTCCTAATGTCAGAAGGGGAGAGTAGTTCTCAACCCAGTGACCTCCTCCTGACCCAGATCAAGGCTGGGCAGTCACAGAAAATGTGACTGAAAGTCTCGTCTGCTTCTAAGCAAAGTCGACAATCTATCTATTCGGACTGACCTATTTTGTTAAGGCATTAACGCAGTCCATTATGACCCGTTAAATATCCCACCAGCAACCTCAACTTTGTTCTGCTGAAAAAGGATACCTTACCATAACTGTGGTGGCGAATCAATTCTTTAGCTTGACGCTTACCTGGAATGTCGCGCCAGTAGCGACTTTTTTAGGCTGAAAATCATTTATCAATCGGAGACCTAGTTGTAGACCAAATTAATCCACAATATGGCTTCGGTCCACAGAGTTGAATGGCAGATCCTGACCTCGCAAGAACATTTAATTATAATTGATAGTGATAAACTTAAAGGATATTTCACTTGGAAATACTTGGAAAACTATTATTTGTTTTGTTTTTATATAATAAATATTTATATTTATATTATACTATGCTTTTAATATATATATGTATATGTAAAAAAATATATAAATAAACAACAGCACACCTACAATTTCATTTTACCTTCATAATAGATTTTTAAGGCCGATTTCACTCACAGTCGTTTTCTTGTAAGAACAAGAAAAAATAAGTTGTTAACACAACTTATAATCCATAACACTTCAGAGATATTTATAGGTAATTTTGATCTTGCTGCCAAACAAATCTATAGAGCTAAATTAACAATATCTCTTGAAGCAGTTTGCAAATACATACATATATTAATTTTAAAAAAATAAATATAAGAGAAAATAAAATAAAATGATTTTAAAAGCAAATTAAGTATTTTATGTAAAAAAAATTTAGAGAACAGTATAAAGTACAGTATAAAAATAGCGCTAAAGTTCAATTTGCTTACTGTGCGAATAATTATGTTCGGCACTGTAAATGCAAGTCGTTTAAGTATTGCCTTTAAAAATAAGGTTTTGTTCTGCAACAATAACTTTTTTAAAAGAAAATATTAGTTGTTGGCAATGCTTTAGGAACAGGAGTACTTTTTGAGCACTTGTCCATAATTTTAAGGAGCAAAGTATAATCGTCTTTCGGATGTGGTGCGTGCAAGAGAGTTTGTATACATGTTGTTTCGTATCTTTTTCTACTTGGATGTTACTTAAAAATACTTTAAAAAATAAAATGTGATGTGTTTCAGTGATTTTTACTTAAAACAAAATATATATTGAATAATATTTATATCATTAACTTAACTTAAAGCTTAACTTAATTAAAAAATATTAAAATACTTGCTTTGTTTGAAATATGTTTTAGTGAAGTTTCATTTTAAGATACATATATGGTACGGTTTATATTCTGGTAAAATGATTTCTGAACAATTAAGCAATCATTTATATCCTTACTCAGTACATTTAGTATATTTACCGGCAAAACCAATAAACATTACCGATTTCAATGTGTTTGTACAATATTAGAGGCAACATCCTGTTCACAGTGCAAGAATTTTGTGTATATACACACTTGGGTTGTGCATGAAAAAGTTTTTGGGTTCACACTGCGTGCACTACAATCAAATACTTTAAATACTTTAAATACTTCAAATACTTCATTTTTTGTTTATGTTTTATTATTGTTTCGTGCTATTTATCATTGCTAAATAGCTTACAGAGTTCAAATTTATAACATTCGTCAGCAGCAATTTATGCTATTCAAATTTATAGAAGAAAAATTTCACTAAAATTATAGTGCGAATATAAGCATATTTACCCACACACACATACATAAGGACAAATACTTATATAAGTGCATGCCTCGTATGGATGCAAATAATGTGTTTTATTTGCTAAGTCTTTAAGACAATATCCAGTTTTCGATACAGCAGGTGCAATTTCAAATTTAATTTAAGGTATAACAGCATTTGTATCTGATGTATTTTTGTTTTGAGCTGTGTAATCACGACTTTTAGTCTTTTTAGTCTTCAAATCAAGCGGTAAACAGGATACTATATTCGCTGTTACTCTTATACGAATGTTGAAATGTAGACGAGCATTGTGTATCTGTGAATGAAGCTGTGGTGCCGTTGTATTTTGTTCCTACATTATAAAGGTAGCTCTGAAAGGTAAATCTCAGCATAGTTTTGTAATTGATTGCAATTTATAAATATGGAGGTATTGCTCCATTCTATTCTTAGCAAAGCTTGTAAATGTTCAAGAAGTATGTTTTAGATCCCATCTTAAAGACATAGTGGCCAAAAGGAGGTACCATTTAAAAGGGAGTTTTTAAAAACAGTTAAAACATACAATTTCTAGCGTAAAATGGTATTTATTATTTTAGAAGAGAGAACTTCCCACTTGTTGTAGTAAATTACAACAACAAAATCTTAATATTTATTAATTAATTGAATTCTTGGCTGGCCATACAGCTGTTTCGAGTATATCCAAATACCCATCATTAGTGATCTTTTGGAAATAATACTTGTATTTAATTATTCCTAAATAATTTTTTTTTAAACTGCAAGTATCAAGATTTGAACTCATGCCTTGTCATTCTCTTTTTAACTTTTTAGTTTCAGTATATAGATTCGCAAAAAAATATCTAAAAATATATATTCGCGTTATCCCAATCTGATTTCTCATACCCAAAAATATAAATTCGACTAGACAATATAAATAACCTATTAATAATCTACTAACTAACCAATGTGGATTTACTAACTTAATATATAAATTTTTAAACGATTCACATCTTATTTTAAATACATATACATATTACGTTCTAAAAACTATTGAAAAGAATATTAAATTTATTATAAGTTATACAGTTGAATCCCGATAATTCGAAATCACAAGGAACAGGATTTTTTACGAATTAGAAGGGTTTTCGAATTATCAATGTTTCGATTTAACAAAAAAAAAAAGAAGAAAATTCGAATTATCAGGGCTTTTACATTTCAGTTGATTTTCATATATTTTTATATATAACTTTATTAGCACTAAATAATCCAATTTACATATGTATTTACATCCTATGTACTATTATTTTAATAAGAAAATAAAATCATAAAATATTGTAAAGAGTAAGATCAAGTTTTAACTTTCAAAAAAGTTCTTAATTGTTGATTGCTTCAGATTCTTTTCGCCTTTCTCTTCAGTTGATTTTTCCAAACTTAATAAACAATCAAAAACATTTGTTTGGACATATTGATTTGAAACATAATATCGTAGTTGTTGAATGACCGAATAGCTTGTTTATTCATTATAAGCAGTTTCTCACTGGCTATCATCCCCATTCGTCTCTTTATTAATAGCTGCAACTTCTTCCAAAATATTATTATCTGTTAACATACCACATGCAGTCACGTCATTATCAATGTTAACGCAATCTTCGAAAAGCGTGACATTTGACATATACGGTCCACCAGATAATCTATGTTGAATTGTTCGACTTGACATACATTTTCGTTTAAATCTGAATTAAAACTGCAAACCCAAAAGCGGTTTTGAATGCAAAATCTGCTGACACTATTTCACGCTTTATAAACCATTTGGATTACCGTAAATAGCGTACAAATAGCGAACTCTTTTTTTTTCATCAATACTATTAGCTAGATTAATAACCATTTCCTTGCGGTAAAATAATTAAACATTTTTTATAACACCACGGTCAAGGGGCTGCGGCTTGGAAGGGGTATTTACTGGCGAAAAATTTATTTTTACATGGCTGAGATTAGGGGACCCATTATGCGGTATACAATTGTCCATAAATAACAGTATCTTTCGATTTTTGTTTTCATACCATCATTCAGCATCTGAAGCCATCGGTTAAATAGATCCATTGTTATCCACGCCTTCTTATTGTGTCGGCAAAGCATTAGAAGGCTGCTAATGTTCTTGAAGCACCTTGAATTTGTAGACATTACAAATAATAAGTGGTTTAATGTTCTTTAAATTTCAAATAAAATACGAATCAACGAGGGGACCAAGAGGTATGGAAATTTTACTAATTAATGAAGTTTTTTCAAGAGACCAGCATATTATTAAGAATTATTGAGGTTTTCAATTTATTGGGGTACGAACTATCGCGATTCGACTGTATATCATATATAAAATTACATAACGCATTCTTACAGATATATACATATATATGTAATCGTTTATAATTTTGACAAACTATAATTTGACCAATGATACTTGATCAAATCAATAAAAAGCTTTTATACAGGAATCTATTTTGCCACGGTGCCACGGTGCTTTAATGATTCCTTCTTTTGTTTTAGATTTATTTCTTTGTAATAGATTAATGCTCACTAAACCCAAATGAAAGATCTTTGTTTCTTTATGAATCATAATTAGACACTTGTTTTATAATAACCAAAACTAATAGCATTAAAGAGCCTAATAATTGTATGAAATAGTAAACTTATTTATTATCGAATTTGTAATCAATACATTGAGGACACAAAGATTTTTGATCTGTAATTGTCCAAGCTTTGGTTTAAAGAATTAAACAAAAAGATCGGCAATTTTTCATAGTTGTATGCTACACTGCCGCTTGCATTCATTAGTAATACATTTGACGCCATTGACAACTTTTCAAAAGAAAAATTTTTTTTCTCTTTTTAGATTAATTATATTCGTTAAAATCCTTCTTCTTTATAGATGGAGATCTAAGTTATGCTTTTTAGTGGAGGGTTAGAATTTTCATCACATGATAAATTAAAAATTCTCTTATTCGGATAGCGTGACAAGTCATTATATAACAGAAAATAAAAATTTATTTTTCTTTCAGAGTATCAAAAAAATACTCGCAACTTACGAATGAATACATGTGAAGCACCAACAATGCTCTTAAAATCTTCAGAGTTAGGTTCTACTCACAAAAAATTTTGCGTCTTAAGTTTCAGTGTAGACATATTCAAAAATCAGTCTATTGTGAATGTTCACTGAAAATTTGTTGAAAAAACCAGTCATACGTTAATATCATATAAAGAAATAAATAAATTTAAATACATATATAATATAAAAATGTTTACCATTGTCTTTATAATATTCGCTTGATGATCTTTATTTAAATTAATTAATTTTTAGTTTTTATAATTTTTATATTTCTTATTAGCGACATGCTCCTTTTGTAAAGTTAAAATTTCGAAAATAAATAATAATTTTTTGTAATTATTGGTTAGAATATATTTTTTTACATGATTGTGAATAAAATATGAATTTTCATGCCTTTTAACAGTAAAATCATAAATAGAAAATGTAACGTATTTGTTACAAACAATGACGACAAGAAATACGAATAATTAACGAAATCATTCGTTAACAGTTAACTGGAAATTTCATAGGTACTTCCCAAAGTCGTTTACAATAGACGAATTTTTACTCTTAGCAGCCATGCAATTTAAGCTACTTCTTAGTTAAGCGATTTCAAAAAGGTTAGACTAAATAAGCAACATGTGTTGTTGTTTTATATGTTATTTTTAAAATAAACAGTTGTTCTTTTTTGTGGTATGCTTACAAAGCAAAAGGCCTATTGTATACAACACAAAAAATATATGTCAAAAAAAAGCATTTAACATATTTTAAAAGTGATCCCAATTTGTCTTAAACAGTCTTAAGGCTGTTTTTTTGAAACTCTGAAAGAAAAAATTAAGGCTGTTCATATAAAGTTACGTTTTTTAAGCTCTTTTGGGTAAATTTTTAATAGCTCTGTGTGGAGAGTAAAAGTTAAAATTAAGTTTTTAGCATTGAAAATGCTTACATAAATTTCTCCTATAAATGTTTTTATGAAATTACTGTATAATATTTTCTGTTTTATTTTTATTTCTTTATTGTTCTCTTAGTTGTTACTTATTTTGCTTTTTAATATTTCGACTTCTGCTTATTTTAATTTATGGATGTATTCAAGCATTGACTGATTGTGTGAGAAGAGTGAAGAGGTTGATTTTGAAATTAATATGAATCTTAATTACTTTAGTAAACGATGTTGGAATTTACCCGCTTATCAATCGCATATTGCTTATTTTAAGCAAAAAGTTTGGTATGGTTAATAATAATTTTTTAAATATAAATAGTAAATACTTATTTGGCCAGTACTTTTGATAGCGAAAAGTGCAAAATGAGTTGTATTATACATAGTTTACCAAACTACAAAGATATTAATATTCATTTAAGTCCTAAATACGTATTTAAGCGATTTTATTTTGAGTCTAAAAATATGCCTTATATATTATTTCAGATTATAAATTCGTTCGATAATACTAAAGCTAACAAGAAACGAAAAAAAAATGAATTCATATTAATTCATTTATACAAATAATCTATGGATACATAAACAATACATGCTTTTTGATAATTAAAATATGCCCATTACGGGTTCATTAATTGGTTGAAGGAATCAAAACGATATTAACAAAAAAAACGCAATGTTCTTTATTTTACAAGAGAAGTAAGACAAAGCTTTGAATAGCCCGATGCCGATAAAGACAACAAGTAATAGTTTTAATCATCAACACCCAGAGCAAGAATCTTGTTCACATTACCACTTACAACACATGAATTCTAGAAGAAAACGTGGAAAGCAAAGCAATAAAAACTTCTTTGAGATGGATCATAACACTTTTCTACATTTAAATTCATTATGGTCCATTTGGTATGGAGTTTTGTTCACATTATTTCAAGGATACCTAGCCGTGCATGGTGCTTATCGATTCTTAGGTAATACAAACATTAAATTCAAACCTACAAAAACATATTCTTAAAGTTTCCAAATTCTTTGGGATGAAATTTAAAATATATTGTGATATAATTTTTTATTTTGATTTAATATCTCATATTATGTAAAACTATTTTTCAATTAAAAAATTTAAAAATAATTTATTATACAAAACATAACACATTTTTTAAATCACGTCACAATAATATCAATATACTGTCTGAATAAATAACTCATTGGAATGCGTTAAGTTCGTTAGAGTAAATTAAGAGCAAATTATTCAGGCATACGTGATAAAAACAGACAATAAAATAAAACTTGTTCTAACAATAAATTTACACTAATTGTAACCTTTGCAACATTAGTACTATTTCGAGACAATTTAGTGTAAACAGCAACAATTACCCACTAATAGAATTCAATTAAGAGAATGCTGCCAAAATATCAATATTGCAAGTATGTGAGAACGCGTTCATAATTACAAACAGAAGATATGACGAAAATCACCTTGAAACGCGAATTTTAACAGTACGTTTGGACAAATGGATTTTCGTATTTACCAGGATAAATGTATGGCAATAAATCCTACTCACTTTCATGGCGATATGGAAACATTACAAAAGAACAATTATTTTAAATATATCGGATGTTTTTTTTTAGCTGCATGAGAACTTAAAATAATAATACAAGACAGAAATTCTGTTGAAATAGGATTTCTTATTATAATCTGGTAGATAATTTCATTGCATTTATTTTTTGAATATGATATCCGACATATGTCCGCCGCAGCTACGAGTTCCATGGTTCATTCGATTAGTGTTTTTAATTTTTAACTATTTTTTGCAATAAATGTGTTCGTATGGCGTCAATGGAGGTATAAAGCATTGATTTTCAATGCTTCAAGAGTTGATAATTTGTCGGCATAAACCAGTTCCATAAAAAATAATCGAGTGGCGTTAAATCGCCAGTTAACTAGACCACTTCTGGAAATAAAGTGCAACTCAAATTCATACATGTTTATGCAGTAATCAAACAAAATCAAAATCACTTGCAACATATGAATGTGCGATCAACTTTTCCGCACACCTAATGAAAAAAATTCGAGCGGGCTACTGCTAAAAGGGGAGAGACAAAATGTAATTGAAATGAACTGAGATTTTTGCTGCAAATTTTACCGCACAACTAAGTGCTTCGGCAAATCAACATGTTGGATTCGTATGCCTGTAGTTGATATTCGAATACTTTTCATATTATATGCGTGAGCACTCGCACATTATTTTGTTCATTTTTCTGTTGAGCACAACTAACGACAGAAATTTATGAATGAAGTTGCTTAAAGGGGAAAGACGAAATATAATATAGAAATGTTATGTATTTTGAACTTCAAACTTATAAGCACAATTAACAACTATAGCAGCTAAGAGAAGAAAATTGATTGAGTTTTTATAGACAATTCTATTTAATTGTTTTTGCTAAATCTTTAATATTAAAAAATATATATCTATATGTAATAAATAATATTAATACTCCATGTAAAGATATTTAATGAATTTATATATTTTATTCGACACTTTGCAAATTATGTTAAGGTGTGCGCCGCGCACCTCCGCACCTTAGAGAAGTCGTCACTGATTTTGAATGTTAGTTTATCTAAATTGATAGCCATATTTGAAGATTGCATAAAAATAACTTCAAAAAATAAATAAATTACAATATTATATATATATGCATTGAGTTTCAAAAAAAAAAATTTAAACAATCTAAAGGAAAATCCTAATAAGTAACAAATAGCTGAATTAAAACAAGACTATATATATGAAGTATAACAAAATTTAAGCAAAATTTTTTGTTCTCTTTTTATTTGAATTCACTTATGTAGATAGTTTTATGTATGTATAATGCATACATATATGTATGTAACAAATTTAAAATGAAATAAAATAAATCTAATAATACTAATACTATATTATATTAAATAACAATATATGTTTTTTTATTAGGTTGCTCTCTCATTCAGTGGAAAATTGAGCCAGTAACCGAGTTAAATTTGCAAATAATATTATCTGGAGTTGTATTCATTCTTTTACCTTTTTTCTTCACATCAGCTGTATTTAAAGTAAGTCTAAACTGTCTACTTCGACATTCAGTAAAGTTGTTCGTTCAACTTAATTTTGGAATTGAATGGTAAATAATGATAAACAATTGAAAAGTTGATGTATAGTATAGTTTTAATTTTGTTTTAATTTTAATTAAGTTATTATCTTTAAAAACTATTGCATAAGCCGAGTTAGTTACGCGACAAACTATGCTGCACAACTTGGTCGAAACAAAATCGTCATAATGATTGATAGAATATTTGAATATCTAAATAAAAGCACTTTTATGTACGAAACCATTATAGGGAGAATAATATCACTGAATAAATAATATTAAGATAGTATTTTACAAAAGTTTAACATTAAGCCTTTTCTTTTGTAAGCATACCACAAAATAACAACTGCTTATTTTAAAAATAACATTTGAAACAACAACACAACTTGCTTATTTAGTCTAACACAGCTGGCTTATTTAGTCTAACCTTTTTGAAGGTTTAACTAATAAGCAGCTTAAATCGCATGGTTGCTATGTTAAGAGTAAAAATTCGTCTATTGTGAACGACTTGTGGAAGTACCTATGAAATTTCCAGTTAACTGTTAACGAATGATTTCGTTAATTATTCGTATTTCTTGTCGTCATTGTTTGTAACAAATACGTTATGGTACATTTTCTATTTATGATTTTACTGTTAAAAGCATGAAAATTAATATTTCATTCACAATCATGTAAAAAAATATATTCTAACCAATAATTACAAAAAATTATTGTTTATTTTCGAAATTTTAACTTTAAATTTTATTACATATTTTTCAGAAAAAACTAACAAAATTTCCATTTTATCCAGAGTTGCCATCGAAAGTAGTGTTTCTTTTATTTGTTCTTTTGCGACATTTTTACAAAAGAAAAGGTCAATTATATAATATATTAAGTTCATATATACTAGAACTTTTTTGAATAAAAATCTTTTAAGTAAACTTAGTTTAGGTGCAGGTAAATGAGTATATTGCTCTGTATTTGATGATATACAAAAACTAAAAAAAAACATGTAACTTATTTATGAATGTCTAACAAAATTTTAAAAATTGCCCGTCTGATTGCTTTTCGATCGAACTTTGATCAAGAAAAACTGTTTTTAGAACTTTCAAAATCATTGCAGTTTTTATAATTGAAGTTGGATATCTGTATGTAAGTTATCTGCGGCCAATCATTCCTATTTTAAGAAAGATTTCTTTGGAAATACATTTTAAATGTATTTAACATAAACGCAGCATTGCTCATTTGTAATGTCATTTTTTACTTTCTACATAGGAAGTTTATTCTCTTAAATACGATAATACACAATATATGTTTGATAATTTTTTTTAAACAATAATTAATATTTTAAGGTTGGCAACTTAGCCAATGATGGCGTTAAATTAGCTACCGGTTCCAAAGGACGACGCTGTTCAATGGCAACACATGATGGACTTGAAGAAGAACCGAATGGTGGGACAATACGAACATTATGGACTCATGGCGGACCAACGGCGGCTTTTGTGCATTTGTTAATAGCAATGTGCCTACTAATGCCACGACTACTTTTAGAAGCAAGAATAATTGAAAATGGTTTGCTCCCAAAAGGTGATTACTATAAATTAAAGTATATATTTAATTAAAAAGGCAATACTCTAAATCGTTTAATGAAATTAAGTTCAATCGAATTACATATTTAATAATATTTGAATAACAGAATCTTATTTTAGTAAATGTCTATTATAAACAGTTTTATACCCAAAAACTTCAATGGACAAAATTTAAATAATCGTGAATGTATTCATAAGAACAGTTATATTAGGCTGTGTTCGGTGGGTCGCAAGTGTTGTAAAATACGCATGCTGGCCTATATTCGTTAAGCGAGACATAGGCATCACTGTTACAGTCTAATATAAAATTGATAATTAAAACGAATACAGAATTCAAAGAAATGGCGAGAATGTTGGAAATTTAAAAATAAAACGCTGAACTTTCACGTTTTTTCCAATTTATGAAATTTTTGAATTTTTCGTTGGAAATTTCAATAAAGGTTCACAATAGTTCAATTATTGCTTTGGTAACACTTTTTACTTTACTGGCCGCAGTGTTTGGCCAGTCACTTGCTGTTCTTACGAAGTTTGATGAACGACGCAGTGATTTAGAATAACTTTGATTTTCAAATTAGTGAAATTTTTAACTGACACTGTGGTTGAGCAGTTTTTAAAAGAATTAGGACGTTTTATATTTACAGAGTACTTCTTTGCTTTTATAAATCAAAATCACAATTTGTTAAATGGTGATAACAATCAGAGTTTATTAAACTATGGTCGAAATCACTGTTGAGGTTGTAAGGCTGTTCGACATCACTGTTAACTGAAACAGTGATCGAAGTCGTTGTTGTGATTGAATAGTGGTTTGAATCACGAATATTGAAACCAAGGTTTGCATTTCGCAGTGATTTATTGTAATTGCTGTGCCGTCGTGTTGAATCTAGTATGTTCTGTTCGCACTAACACATTAATTCACACAACTACTGTACGTAGTACACACATATTAGCTTCAAAGAAGCAAAGTCGTGACAGCAGTAATCGAGGGTGTTAAGTCAGATGTAAGCTGTACAGGTTTCAATGCAAGGTCAGTCACAAATTGGGCCCATAGAAACAAGAACCCCCAACTCATGTCCAGTAGTTATGCGCTAAAAACATCCGTAATCTAAACAATGTGGAGGAAATCACACCACAAATTACAGTAGATGCACTATTTATAAGGAGATTAAACAGAGACTACATCATAAAAACAAATACTACGTCTGCCACCTATCATTAGTCAGGTTACTATAACTCTCGCTTCCAAAACATTCTCCTCAAAAGCCACAAATGCTCGAATAATGTCTGCTATCGTAGTACAATTAAATTCTATGTTAGTAAAATTCTATGTTAGCAACTCATGTGCAAAGTCATCTTAACTACAAAATAGAATGTAACGAACATATAGTTGATGCCGTTACGGTTCTAAACACGACATTTTTTAAAGTTGCAACTAACGCATCTTCCAGCAACCAAAACTTGAACGTGTCTGGAAAAATTGTCATTAATAGAAATATTTAATTTTTTGTCTTGATAAAACCAAAAACTAGGCGGGAATGACAAACAAGTACATTACGTTTCTTAAAAAGGCAACTCAACTTTATTTAAAATAATCTTGGATTAGTTTGTCTCGAAACGTAGAGAAAAATTCTTCCTCATGAAAAGCCTATAAATTTTTAAAATCTCCTACAGTTGACATAATTTCACTAAAAGGCGTGCTCGTAGCGATGAAAAAACAACCAATATTTTCTCACAACAGTTGACAGTCTTTGAACCTAATATTGCAATTATAGATAATGAACTACCCAACTTCCTATTTGTACTTAAAATATTTAAATTCACATAATCTTCTTCATAATCTTCTTGAATTGAAAACAAACTTGATGGCAAGAAAGTAATGTGAATGAACATATTACACCCAAAATGTCAAGACATCTATCATCTTTACCAATAATCTTTATTGCAAGACACTTCAATACCAATATTAGCTGTCATTACTATCCAATGAAGTAAAAAAAATATTTAGTTATAATAGTCCATAAGGCAAGCATTTGCCTTTCCCTAGAGACCTATTAATCTACTACATTGTCTTTCTAAACTACAATATTTGAAAAAATATTTTTACCAAAGCTACAGCCTCGTTTTAATAAAAATCAAACGCTTCGTTTTCATCAGTTTGTCTTTTAAGAACCTCAATCATGAAATGAAACTTGTATTTGAGCTCAGAGAGTACTATTCAACAATGTTTCTCGACGTTAAGCAAGCTTTTGAGTATGGTATGACGGATTATTTATAAAATCAGACATTTGTAACCCTCGAATATACAACCAGTATTAGAATTCAATTTGGACATATGGCTTTCAACTGTATGGAATGCAAGTGCCGCAAAAAATGGTATTCCGCAAAATGCTCAATCAAATATATTAAGACTGATCACTGGATCGCCATGGTACATCAGAAATTAGCAGAAAACGTGTTTCACCAAACATATACCTCTCTATTAGTTCTAGCCAAATTATAAATAATAAAAAGCCCGTAAAATGAGATTTACTTATTATAGTTAACATGTAATAGATCGATCCTGGCCCTACGAAATATACATTTCGGTAGTTCCCTTACTTTGCCATTTGCGCACCACAATCCATTGGCTTCGTTTTTGTATTTCAATGCCTTACAATGTGAGCAAACCGAGTTCATTGATCTAATAGCAACACATTGATAGTTACTATAGTCAATTGACACATCGTAACTGCAAGCAGCTCGATTCAAACTTGCGCGATTATGAGTTGAATGTCGCTCTTGCGCTTCTCGCGTTTGTGATATCCGAATTCTTTCAAGTTCATTTCGGTCGTCATGTTCTTGTGCAGTATGATTAGATCGGGAATTAGTATGGTTTGTAGCATTTCGGGTTCTTCTACCTAAATTACTTCGTCTTACACGAGGCATATCGAATATAAATTGTGTCACATGCACTAATTAGTGATCAAAAGTAATTAAATACTTTGTAAAAAACACGATATAAAAACAAACCTCAGTAAAATATTAGTATGTATTTAAATTATTTACAGCTCATATATTAATGACAGTATTTAATTATTATATTTGAAATTTGAAATACTGATGATGTTGCTTAGACAACAGTGATGTAATATGAATTTTATTGAATAGCAATAATTCGATTTTTTTTCTCGCCGTAAAAACCATCCTTGGACTTCAACGAACATTTAAAAAAAAGATTTGACCAAATTGGTCCAGGCGTTGTTGAGTTATGCGCTTACCAACACATTTTTTGATTCATTTTTATAAATAAGATTTATAAAAAGGAGAAGAAAAATTTAACAGCCAAAATAGCTAATCCTCCTAGGATGTGTGGTTTAGGTTCATTTGCTCTTGAAATAATTCACTGTCGTGAAAATTTATAGCTTCCATTATTAAGCATATAACAAAAACCTCAGCCTTTAATGTAAAAGACGCTATAGAATTTAAGAATAAAATAAATAGTTTCTACATATATGACGATGAAAAAATATCTCTTTTGACGTTATTTCCAATTATCTTAGTATACATACCTCTTGAGGTGGCATTAAAAATTATAGAGAAAAAATGAAATTTGAAATAATACATATTTATAAATTTAGTTATATGTATCTGATAAGTTGAAATATTTGATATAATTGAAGCATTATGTATAATATCTTTTCAGAAAATATTTGGCAGAGCGAATTAGACTTTTTAATTATAAATCGTCGAAATTTGGTTGTAAATCCCATTCACATTTCTCAACGTCGGAGGTTCTTATTTGAAAATGAGTATTATTTTAAAAATACCTCAAATATAAATGAATTTGTTAATGGCTTAAACAAAGGCGTAAATAAAAACATAATCAGTTCTAATAAAATCAAAGCGATACCACCTAACAATAACTTAATATCTCATGATTTGACTGATTTAATTTATGGTAAAAGTAACGATTACGATGAAAGTATAAACATAATGAGAAACGATGAAACTAACCATAAAATAAAACCTCAACTAACTGAAAGTCTGTTTAACAAAGACAATATAATCTCTAATGAATTCCTGCCTAATAATATCACTCAAACTACTTCCGAAATTATAATAACAACCAATCTTGAAAATATATCAGCGAAGCCAATGAGACTTAATTATTTAAGTAATAATTCAAATGAAAATGTTGAGGCTGCACTTATAACTACAAATAAACCATTGTTTCCAATGACTGCCCAAACAACAGCTTCATTTGTTAAACTACATATTAATCCTACAAAATCAATTATTATAAAAAAACATTATTCCAACACAACCACACAAACGCCTACAACAACATCAGCAAATGAAGGCTCCACACATAAAAAGAAAAATTTCTTATATCACAATTATCAACACAAGAATAATAATAGTAAAACACATAAGAATACATATCGACATCAACGACAAAATGTATTAATCGGGCATCGACCTATTAACACGGGAGAACTAAACTCAAGGGAAACGAAGAAAACAGCTATAAGATATCAGAACAAAACAGAACTGTACAGTGGTAATGAATCATTTGAATTTGCCAATAATAATTTACATACATCTGATCGTCATATGTCGTATGATAACGCGGGTCTAAAACTTAGCACTGATATTCCTGACCCCGATATAATAAGTACTGTCAGGTCAGAAATTCTTTCTGTGTCATCAACATCTGCGAAAGCACATTCAAAGATCATTGAAAAAAGACCCAAAAAACCTAAAGTGAAACGAATGGCTGATAGTGTACTGGATATTGAAATAGAACCTGCTTTTTTAATCAGTAATTTTTCTAAAAATTATTCAAATGAAAATTATGCTATGTTCGTAGCTACATCTACAAATAATGAATCATTTACTGACACACTTATAAAGAACATCTCTATTGATGGTCAATCCGATTTTATTCAACTGAACGGTTTTGCCGGTATGTTGCAAATACTATTCGGTATTGAAAAGCCTATCGATGTGGACGTTTTTAATCATCCGCCTAGCTTCGAGTTTTTAAATCTTTTATTAGCACTGACGGTATGGTCTGTGCGCTATCCTGCCGTTTTCTGGGCCACAACAAAAAAACTAGCAATCATTTTTAGTATTCAAATAGTTTTTGCATCGATAGATATTATTTTTAGCTACGCAGGCGTTTCAAATCTATATAAAATGCAAGTATATAGCGAAGCTACACCCATAAAAAAATCAGGGCTTCTTTTAAATGCTGTGGTAACATTGGCCCTTTTTTTATTATCATCAGCTTTGATAATTGCATCTTCAATGATTTTGTATTTATATGGCCACGGACGATTAACAGCCAAAGTGCGAAGTCGATCAATGATTACCATAAAATCGAATAAGGCATGGATTTATTTTGCGCATTGTGCCTCGTTGTGTTACATTTTAGCAATTGCGGTAGTTAAGGCACCCCTTCTTAATGATTTGAATGCAACGTATAGAAAAAATTTCCATCATTTGACATTTTTTTCTGGTGAGTCACATATGAATATGATAATTAATATGTAAACATTTCATAATATATACCTTTATTTTTCTAATATCATTTATGCAGTGCTTATAAGTGTAGTCAATTTTTTCATGTGGATTGTGATATGGCTTTCATTGTCAGCTAAACGCCACTGGACATTTAAGTTACCGCCAATTGACTCTTATGACGTACCTAAAATTAGTGGACAACCTCTCTTAATGTCAAGCCAGTCTTCGCTTCCAAACGCTAACGCAGAAATAACTACTCAGCAGAAAGGGGTGACGAAAATCGATACAAGTGCAAATAATGGTAGTAATAAAAATACCAATATTAATGGCAACAACGATATTTATTGGCCCAAAATAATATCTAATTCTCCTAAATTAAGAGTAACTTTTAATGAAGTAACTAGTACGTCTGAAGATGCTCTACTTATTAGTGATCAAAAACAAACTGATGGCAAGCGGTAAAAAATTATTTTCAAAAATAAAATCTCAAATTGAAGATAAGATTTAATTACATACATAATTATGTTTTTCCTGTCTTTTTTTCTTAATGTCTTATAAAATTATTTGAATGCACTTTTCTTTTTTTTTTATAAATTGATCGAATACAAATTGAATTAAATTTTGAAATATTATTTTTTTTTGAACAAAAAATATATAATTATAACATATATATATATAATTATATTTTGTCCCGCTTGTCGCCTGTTTTTTTTTTTAATATATTATTTGAACACTATACCTTCAATATTTAAAAAGCATATTATTTATACTATAAATAAATTAAAAAATTTAGTAGTTTAACTACATCCAATTACAACATTTAATTTTAAATACAATTCGCTTTTTTGTTTATAAATGGCATGTATTAAATGATCATTTTGTTCAAATAAGTAATAAAAAATTTTATATATTTTATTTAGCGATTCGTCCAATGGAACAATGGTATGTTTTACCAGTGTTACGGGGGAAATTGATGAAGGAGAATACGCAACATTAAGCGCCTCTTTTGGGGTAGATTCAGCAGGTCTAGAGAGCTTTAATACAAATATACAAGATTTGAATCATAAAAATGGAGAAAATCAAAACAGCAGTACTCCAAATGAATTGGAATATAACAAACTTCAATCACCCCAACCACAATTAATGAAAGAAACAGTTAATTCTTACGCGATTAATGTAACGGAATTTATGGCAACTGGGACTGAACTTACAACTAATACTGTTGCTGAGAAAAGTAAACTATTAGCATATGAAAGCAATGAGGGCATTACTTTAGCGAAAAATTCTAAAGCTAAGAGATTATCCCCAACGTCTTCAAACAGTGTCAATTATGCCAATAGCACAGTTTGCCAACCATTTATCAAAGTTCCACAACATTTATCAACCCCCGAACGACTTTTTGGTCCGTTGGCACCCGTTACAGTTGCTGTACATACAAATGAAGCACATGTAAGTAAGAAATTTAAGATACCTATCGAATAAAGTTTAATATATAAAAGTTTAATATATTTATATATATAAAATATAGCTTTAATTCTATTATCATAAATTTTTTTTTTTTTTTGAAATCTTAAAGCCCATCATAAAAGGTTTTTTGAAATATATGAATAAACAATACATCATTTTTTTTAATAAAATAATTTATCATATATTACAACTTTAAAAGCCGATATCTAGAGAACTAAACTATATAAACATATAGTAGCGCAATGGATAAAGCTGTTCAAAATGTAGAAATTATCCAAAAACCTTTGAGAAAACAAAAATCCGTGCAGCGGAAATCCGACACCACAATACTTTATAAGAAGCGTATAGTCTTCCTTGTAAAGAAGGTTGCAGAAGCATAAGGTTTATTGTTGATTGTGATGCCTTGAATCTAAAAACTTCTAAGAATAAACACAAAGACGTCTTGTCAAATTTTTGTATTATATATTTTTAAGCTTATAAAAATATATCTTAATTTCATGTAAATGCCGTGAACGATGAAAAAAATTGTTTTTTGCGCCTCTATAACGAAGCATTTCGCCGATCTCGACGATTTTGTTATGAAGGTTGTTTCTCTTCCACTTATTTTTCAATAAAAATATTACTGTAAAGTTGTTTTTAGAACATAAATATAGTGTTATAACATATTGTCTGATAATATCGTATACAGATAAGTCGGAACTGTGTCGTGCATTTGACTATGTCAGTATGCGTGGCAATTTATTGCTTTGTGCCTGACAGTACTGTTGTAATCGATGTTTTTGATATAAAGTTCAATGAATAAAAGATTTAACAATATATTTAGGTAGTACATTTTAGAGCATGTATTGTCCTAAAAGCATCCGTAATACCTATAATTACTTTTCTTTGAATTCTGCTAGGGTTTTGAATATTATAGCCATTGGTTCAAGCTGGCCAGCGAACTACTGCCACTGTGGTCATGTACATGCAATGAGTAATATCGGAGCGGAGACCTTGTCTTTTCCCGAACATTTGCAAGAGAGCTAGATAGAAAGAAATATAGCTGCAATAGAAAGCTATCCATCCCTTCTTGATATTCCATCACAGTTTAATATAAGATTTTCAATTTTATTTAATATCGCAGTCAAGAACTAAATCGAAAATATGAAGCTTTAGATAAAGTCATTAAAAAGAGGGCCAAAAAAGATAAAAAGAATTTCTATGATGCGCTAGCCTCTGAAGCGGAAAAAGCTGCTAATAAGGCTGGCATGAAAACACTGTTCGCTGTTACGAGAACTTTAAGCGGACAAAAGAATAATACACGCAATATTCCAGTAGAAGATGAAAATGGTGTTCTTGTAACCTCAAAACAAGAACAATTATCAGTTTGAAAAAAATATTTTGAAAGCACGCTTAACTCAGTATTTGCTACAACCGAGGATAATCTCACTTCTCAACGGCGCCATAACATCAACAGGCAAATTAATACCGAACCACCCACAGTAATGGAAATAAGGAGATCAAAAGAAATGCTCAAATTGGAGGGGCATCTCACTTCTTCATACCATAACAAAAATATTAAACAAAATTATTCTTGACAGAATCGAGGAGCACCTTGACAAACTCATAAGGAAAAATCAATCAGGTTTTCGCCTAGCGAGATCGTGCGTGGATCTGATTAATATAATGCGAATAATTACAGAACAATCCACCGAATTAAACACCACACTTTACATAGTGTTTGTGGATTTTTTAAAAGCATTCGACTCGCTTAACAGACAATCAATATGGATAGTGCTCCCGATAAAATAATAAATATAATCAAAGCTACCTATGAAGGTACAACTTGCAAAGTCTTACATGGTGTTGAACTCAGCGAAGCTTTCGTGTGCCGCACAGGAGCAAAACAATGTTGAGCCTTGTCTCCGCTTTTATTTATAACAGTCTTGGACTTGGTATTTAAAGGTATAGAAACACGTACGCCTGGTATAAACTGGGGGCTTAGAGGTAGACTAGCTGATCTTGAATATGCTGACGATGTTATTTTACTGTCAAACCGTCATAGCGATATGTAACATCAACTTACTATGTTAGAAAACGAGGCTAAGAAGGTTGACTTAGTAATAAACTGCGAAAAGACGAAATCAATAAGAATAAATTCAAATAGTAGCACAGTACTGCGCAGTAGCAGCACCGATATTGCAGATGTGGCCAGGTTTGAAACCTCGGCAACCAAATTTCTGGAGATGGCGGAACATTGGCTGACGTCGACTGTAGGATACGTCGGCAGACTTAAATCGATCTGGAAGTCTACAATCATTACGCGGCAAACATAACTAAATATAAAAATATTTAATGCGTATATTAAATCAACCTTGCTATATGGTTGTGAGACCTGGCACACTTCATGCACTATCATAAACAAGCTGCAATCCTTCATCAACAGAAGCCTAAGAAATATTTTAAAAATCTGGTGGCCGCAAACTATTCGCAACGAAACGCTGTAGCGTAACTGCCATCAAGAAAGCATCAAAAAGGAAATCAACAAGCGCAAATATGGATGGATTGGCCAAAGGCTCAGGAAGAGCTCAAAGGAAATACCTCACGCAGCGTTAGAATGGAACCCACAGGGCCGGCGAAGAAGAGGAAGGCCAAAAAGTACTTGGCGCAGAACTGTCACAAGCGAAACAAGGAAATCTTTTAACGAACTTAGAGCAATAGCTTGGCAGCGTAACAACTAGAAAGCATTTGTAAATGCTATAGTATATGTTAAATTTGATATACCTAAAATGTTCTTTGTAATTAGACTAAATTTATAATTTTGTTAAAATATAAATATGTCCTAATAATAATAATAATCAAACGAAACTCCTAAATAATTCTTTAGATCTTTTTCTCTTTCGTCAGTCCGATCTATAGAAGCAGGGGTTCCTCAGGGACCGCCACTTTCCTCCCTCTCTACAACATTTATACATCTGATATCCCAATGTTAGGTCCCTTGACTCTGGCGTTATATGATGACGATACGTGTATGCTATACTCAGATAAATGTGCTCTCTACATAACCAACACACTTCAAGAGCATATACACTTAATCCTGGAGTATTTCCAGAAATTAAAAACAAAAATCAATAATGAAAAACTAAGGCTCTGTTTCTTACGCGTAAGTGGAGACAGAATCGAGAGTAAGACTGGGAGATATGGTAATAAACTGGGAGAATAGCGTTAAATATCTCGGCATCACGGACAAACGATTCACATGGCTTAAACATGTTCAACTAAAAAGAATTAGCTGTGCCAAAATACTTCATCATCTCCAACTGCTATTCAAAAATAAAAATTTCAATGTTAAGAACAGGAAGCTAATATATAACCAAATAATTCACTTCTATGTCACTTCTATGTGGATGCATAGCGTTTGACAAAGCCTCACGTACTACCACGCCAGCTAGAAATTGCACAAAGCCAGGCTCAGAGAAGACTTTTCAAGGTACCATGGTACATTAGGACGAATGACATCCTCAGGATCCTCTAGATTGATCCGATTAAAAAATACGTAAAGGATAGAGCCATGAAATTATTTACGAAAAATTCCAGACTTACCAACACCGCGTTATCAAATCTCAGAATAGTTACAGGCTCCTCGGGGAGGTATGCAGATCTGAGGTCAATTATTGCTTAGTCGCAGTTAATAGAGAGTGAAATGAAGTGAGGCTCTAGAACATTCTCCATTGTTTTGAACAATATAAGTACAGCATGAAGTTGATCAGCATAACGTAGCAAGCCCAATATATTGGATGATATCTGACTAACAGTTTGTAATTTATTTGTTGGTAGGCAAACTAATTTTTTTATATTTTTGAGCTACTTCATTAAGACCTTAACAATATTCATATATCATAATAACATAAATCGGTTAACAAAGGTTCAAAATCTCATAACGAAGTAGGTATTTAATTTAAATGAAATAATTGTTTGTAAATAAACAAATGAAAATATAATATATAATGATATTTGTATTTATTTACAGATAACATCCAGTTCCATACAACGATGCATACGTCGTGCCGATTCTGGAGTACCAAATGAAGCATTAACACCACGTAGTGATTCTACTTCAACAACTGAAAGCACAACATCTCCACCTGAACGAGCACCGTCCGAATCTTCTAGTGGCGTTCACTCCAGTGAAGAGCGAGACGTTGAAGTTATTATTCGACCACGTTCTATTTGCAAATCAACACCGAAACCCCAGCAACCAATCATAGAAGAAGAGCCTTATGGTCGCTGTACTAATATGCGTATGTCCAGTTTTATTGCTAAACCATTAAGCGTTTCTGCAAACACTTTGCCACACTCACGAACCTCATCAGAACCAAAATATGATTATATACATCATTGCAGTACTATGCCATTACCAGTGCATAATGCTGAATATACTTCATCAAATATATCAGCATATTCTAATTCATTATCAGCGCATTCAATGAATTCACAACAACAGCCCACTTCTAGTTTTAAATCTCAATTGTATGCTAATACTACGAGTGCCATTTCAGATCCTCAACAACAACAACAGCCACTAACTGCTTTACATACCACACTACCAAATGGGGTACGTTATTCCAATCCGCACTTTCTTCGACGTATGTCACATGTTGGCAAATTAGTAGAATCATCATATGAAGAAGTAGAGATTGGTGCTGGGCACCACACTTTCTCAAAACTACTGCATGAACCACTAAAAAATGGTTTGACTAATTCTGTTATACCAGAAAACTGTGTACCCATCAATTATACAGTTATATCTAATCAATAATATAATCTGTATGCTTCAACTAAATAAACAAATGTGTCTATCATATCTTATGGTACAATATCATTTTTGTTAACATATATTAAAGTATTATTTAAACAAAAATCGTCTAATCAAATGCTTCACTGGCAGTTGCGAATATGTATAATCCATTCAATTATTCACTTTTATCTATATTCATAACTATATTAATAACTATTCAATTATATATGGTAAATACTATAAATTCATTAATATTTATTTAATTCATAGAACTGTAACTAAATGTAGGTGTTTTTTAATTTAATACATATCAATAAGTATTCAATATTTCAATAACTTCATCATTTCACCACTTCAATTCCTCTTTTCATTTGGAAACAATATATAACATATCAAAATAGTATATAGTAAAATACGCATACAGCATTGGACCAGTTTCAAACTATTATTCTTTAAGATTTAAATTATTAATTAATTATGAACTATATTAATGTAATTTGAATCACACATAGAAATAAAAAATACAGCGACTTAAAAATGTATAATAATCATTATCAATGTATAACCATTACATTTTAATGGACCTAAATTTACTACTAAACTTTTAAAATGTATCTCATAATATATTATTCATATTTTAATTATTATAATATAATAAAATACGCAAAGAAGTTATAAAAATTATGTATAAATAACTTTTTTACATTGAAGTTCAATGTTAATAAAAGTTATAAATAAAATAACTACGTGTTATTTCACAGCAATAATTATATCAAAAGTATATTGAAACTAGACTCATTTTAAGTTTAAAATATACAAGTTTAAATAATTAATTTTCAATTAATATGCTTAATTAAAAATATTATGAAGACTTTATCATAGATATATCTTATTCAAAACATATATATTTATACATTTACGTTTACAATAAAACGTAAATCTCTGCTCATTTTTATATATATAAATATATTATATGTAATACATATACAATAATATTAAAATTTACTTTCAGTTAATAAGTCACAAATTAATTTTCATATTTTATCTATTAAATAATACCTAAATACTACTGAATTCAAAAATTAAGACATGATATCGATTCCTATTTACTTAATATTCGATTAAATGCTTAAATATAAAAGTGTATGTATTTTTAAAAATATAGTAATTAATAATAATAATCTATTATATAAAAACGTCATGGAAATAGTATTGGCCATTTAATAATGTGGTATTTATATATCAAAATAATAATAACAATAAATTTTAAGTTAAACTATCTTAAAAAGTAAACAATTTGAGTATACATTACGAATATATTACATATACGACTATTAATAAAATGCGATACTTATGGTATGTCTATTATACCGCTTTCATTTATCAAACATATTAGTACCAAATCTTTTTGCATATACATATATTATATTTAGTGTATAATAATATTTAATTGCTATTGTTAGATGTGACGTGATATATATTTTTATTTAAATAATTGTATACATGAAAATAAATGTTGAATCACTTATTAAAATCATTAGTTTGTTCAATAGTTTTCTAAATTTTTGAATATTATACTTAGCTCTCAAATCAGATAGCAGGCTGTAGGACACTATTTGATAAGTAAATGCAATTAGTTCTTTATTCAATTTATTTAATCTTCAGTTCTTAAGAATTCTCTTGAATCTGCAAAGGTGTTAAGTTCAATGTTTATATACTATTACAGCACAAATTAGTTGTGATATTAATATAACGATTTTAAGAACTTTTGTCAATAACTCTATGTGAAGACACATAAAAAAGTTAAAACTTTTTTTTAATATATTGTTGTTTTTTTTTTGTAAGCGCGTTGATTTTTTTATGATGAACTTAATAAGAAATTAGCATTACACTTAACTAGCACATCAGTATACAATAAAGAAGTATTTGATATGCTGACCCATATAAGCATATCTACCTCAAGTAAATTTTATATATTTTGTATTAATGTATCGAAATACATAAATAATAATAATAATAATATGTAATAAAATAATAAGCTAATACAAGTATTTATTATTGCTGTTTATATACACTTAAATTTTAGCTTACAGGTTTGCTATGCCACAAATAAATTATATTGAAATAAAAATTTATTAAAATACAGGGTTTTTTTTTTTGGTGTCAAAAATAAACCAAATGTAGTTAAAATACATTTTTACGAGACTTCTTACAATACTGTATTCTTTTGATACAGTAAACTCGATGGGAGCGGAGGCTTTGTGCCCGGAGCACACTTGAGCTGAAATAATGGCTCACTGTTGTATGACAATAGCCTACTTGCTATGAGTTTAAGGACTGACTGCAGAGGCACAATTCTTTGCGAAACACACAAATAAAATCCAGAGCAGATAAATAGAAGAAAAAAAAGAATTTATTGTGTGAGTTGTGACAATGTCCCATTGAAACTACATATTTTCCATACCCATTCCTTCAATTCTCCATCAAAAAAGAAAAAGAAATGGGATTTATGTGACTGACTTCGTCATTTTCAAAAAAGCATGGGCCCACACTTCCAAATTAAACACTGAATTATTGTTGTTGACATATCCCCCACAAGCGAAAAATAAACCTAATCGCTTCAAAAACTTTGATGCGAAAAATTGTTACAGTTTTTGCAGTAAATTTTTCACTAACATATTTCAACTCATTCAGCGGTTATTAAAGAATCCATATCGTAAAATAGCAAACCTGAAACTAAACTTAAGATGCCTAGACCTTTATATTTATTATTTAAACATTGAAGATGATTAGCGTGATATTATTTAGTAATTAAATTATTCATCAAACTTATTTCCAAAAATATAATATAAAACGATTAATTTTTAAAAGTATTAGTATTGACTGTTTTAAATATGAAACAAATACTACAATGTTTATACTTGAACAATATTACATTTTTAAATAATTAAATTAAATTAATTACTTAGTGTACAATATAATTATTTTTAATTACTGTAAACAAACTTAATTAAAATTCATATTCTCGATATTCAATTAAAAATTTTAAACTATTTACATTCCATTTAAAATGCAAAACTATATATATTTAAGGCTCCAATATCAGTATAAAAAAATGTATTTAAATCATTTATAATTGTATTATTTGTTATAACAAAAACTGAAAAACTGAAAAACTGAAAAACTCACAACAGAATTACAAAAGAGTATTAAATGTACATTGTATATTGTTAAATAATAAATGCCACCGCTTTTTATAAACAATAAAATTGTTTAATTATTTCACAGACTGTTTGATGATATTAGTCTTAAAAAAAGTTTTAATTTTCTATATATTTTATAGAAATATATATTGTTCATTATTTTTATTTTCATTTCATTTTTTTAATTTTTATTTATTTGGTTTCATTTTAATTTCTCAGTTTTTAAAATGTTTATATAAACATATAAAAGTATACAGTACTTTTTAGTTTTTTTTTTTTATTACAAAATAACGCGTGACAATTATTTGACCTTAATTTAATAACATGTGAGTAACATAATATATGAAATAACCCGAAATAATTGTTTACATCACTTTTATGAAATTAGATTTTTAATAGACTAAAAATAAATTGGTAAAAAATAAAAAGTGAAGTTAAAAAAAAAACATCAACATATTGTAAAAAAATAATATGAAAAATAATCTTATATTTTTGAATGATAAGTATCAATATGAACTTGTTCAAAATGGATCTATGATATCAATTTAAATTGCGTACAGTTGAGAATATCATGTACTACATATACTTTTAAACTGCTTTCGCTCAGCCAAAACCAAAACCAAAACGTGCGAAAAGCCCGTAACCAAAGACTATTTTCGAATATTTATTGCCGTAAATTTTGCTCATTTTTGCAAGTAAGAAATGTCAATCCGCAGTAATTTGTCTTTATTCCGTATATCTCTTATTAAGTGTTTAACTCGAGCACAGCGAACTACTCAAAAATGTGAGCAGTTTTGTGTACTTGTATAAATCAAAATGAAAATGAATATAAAATGAAACAGGTCAGGTGATCATAAACAAAAACGGTGTACTTTGATTGGTTGTGCATTTCGCTTTGAATTAATTTCTTACGTTACCTACCGTCTAACTGGGCCTTAATTGAGCCGTTAAGTAGAACGAAATTTTCATTTCGCTTTGACTTGTGTTCCTACAATACTTACCGACCAACTGAGGTATTTAATCAAAAATCGAATCGAAAATCAACATCGCACATGCAACCCTGCTAGTTTACCAATGCCTTCTTTTACTTCTTAATACTTTTATTGTTATGTTTCTTTGGTTAATAATGAAGGTCAGTTGCGCTTGCGCGTTGGTGAATTTGTGTACGTGTAAAGTATGTATGCATCTGGAAAAGTGCACAAAATGCATAATATGAAGTAAAATTAAGCATACTTACGGAATTGCTCGATCATTTGTGTAAAACAATAAAAATAAAAATGCAGATGCTAATATTGAAAATAGCTTTTTAATGAATGTAAAAAGTGATTAGTTCAAAATTGATTATGTCCAAATAAAATAAATAAATTAATTGAAAATATACAAATATAAATGCATAGGCAAAAATGCATCACCATCATCACTCAACGTCAATAGTATCAAACTCTTTAAGTGAAGGTGGTATTGCGCACCAACGAAGAAGAAAAAAACGGCCAAATTACGGTACTCGTACTGTAGAAGTTCGTCGTGGCTATAATGGTTTTGGGTTTACCATATCTGGACAACAACCTTGTCGACTATCATGCATAGTACAACATTCTCCAGCAGACCAAGCTGGTTTACGTGCAGGTGATTTCTTAATTTCTGTTAATGGACTCGGTGTATCTAAATTGCCCCATGAAACTGTGGTACAATTAATTGGTAATTCTTTTGGAAGCATACGTATGCAAATAGCAGAAAATTATTTTTCTGATAGTTCGGACGAAGAAAATGCATTTTTATTGCAACGAAAACAATTCAATAGCACCTTATCTTCAACGTCGGGACAATCTGGGATATCGGGAATAAATGGTAAACCGCGATTTTTATATCACAGAAATAAAGTGCATAGATTACGGAATTCTCCAAATAAGCAAACTGTGAAGCATCATTTGCAATCTGAGAGGCCACATTTAAGGAATTCTTCAAAAAGGCGTTCAGAACTTCAAACTTTACGGCCACTTATAGAAGATTTGCCTCTAACACTGCAGCTGAATAGTACAAGCAAAACTGAAAAAAAAGCTTCCGAAATCAAAATAGATGGAGCGCAACAAATTTCTTCGGACGTAGCAAATGTAAGTGCTATGGTACGTATACCACATGCAGCTTTAGAATATCGCGTAATAGTCGGTTACTTGGGAACTATAGAAATGCCAAAACAGATATCTAATAATTCAAAACTTCAAACTGTTAGATCATGTATACGAAAATTGCGTCAAGAAAAACGTCAACCTAGTACTGTTCTAATGACTATACTACCTGATTGTCTGCGACTGCAATCTTCAAACGGTACTGTTTTAGCTAGTTATGCATCTGAACGCTTGAATTATGTGAGCTCATCGTCTGAAAGTGAAAATCGATTTTTTGGTCTTGTCACCAGTTCTATACATACATCCCAAGCTGACGAAGAAGATAATGATGATACAGAAAGCAGAGATTTTTCAGCCGCTGTTAGTCCAAAAACGAAAAATATAAGCATTTCAAACAGTTGTCATGTTTTTGTCATAGATACTAAATTATGTAGCCATCAATATCACAAACTGTATGCAGATCAATTTCATATACAATGTACTGAAGATCCAATCTCGAATTTATGTTTAGAATTTCCAAATAATTCTGAATATGTTGTTAATTTAATACGTAGCATGTATACAATGCGCATACTACCGGCCGCTACATATAAACAGCATGATATTCCTGTACCTAATATGAATTATGCTGGAGCCTCACACTCTCCACAACCTAGTAATATAAGCGAAGTGTCTACAACTACTTCCAACTCTGATTCAGGTATCGGATTTTATAATGATGTCAAGAGTATATCTGATCGAATTCTAGTAGTTGATTTTCCGAAAAGAGTGGAATTTCGAATGTGCAATACTGCTGCACGGCCTAGTGGTATTTTTAATAATTTTGATGTTATTGTCGATAAACGTTTAACAGTACGCGCAATGCCTGATCCTGTAACTGATGTTGCCCAACAAATGCTTCCTGAGTTATCTTCCAACTTCAATTTAATGAATACTTCTTTAAGTAACTTACAAATAACACGATCTTGTGACGATGTACTATCAATGGTGGAACGAACACAAAACAAGGAAGATTTGTTTCCACATACCTCCCTTAATAATATATCTTTAAATTCATTAGCTACACCACCAGTTAATGATACCATATTCCTTCATCCATCGTGTGTTGAACACATATCAGTACATAAAAAACCTATAAATGAATCTACAAATGTTTTTCAAAAGAATGCTGATATAACCAATGTACAGAGTTCGTTGCAAACTAACACTTCATTATCGTATAAATTAAGCCCCCAAGTGTTTGTCTCGAATACAAAACGTAATTCCAAATCGGATAAGAGCAGTTTAAATTTAGAAATAAATGACTATTCGAACACTTTAGTAACATCGAGTGAAATCTGTGAAAACTATTTATGTAAATGGAATAGTTTACAAAATCTGGAGACAACATTAAGAATTCAAAATCGAGATTTTCTCGGAGCTACAAACAGTGAACCAAATTTAGGCGAGGTAAGTAACTCTAAAATGCTATTGCTAAGTTTTACCTTGAATTAATGTGCATTGGATATTAGATGTTATATTTATTTATTTGTGAGTTAACATTAAAATTATTTTTAAAGTTAACTGAGAATAAGGGACTGGACTGCTAGGTCCTTCGCCTTAGATGTTATAATTAATTTATAATTTGCTTTATAAATTTCTATCATCATTTTAATTCTCATTTTATCATCTTAACTAAGTAATGGGTATTTGTATCAGTTTATTTAAATATTATTTTGACTACATTTTATCAATTATTGATTGAATTTAGGTGCAAAAATATATATGAATAAATTATAATTAACTGAGATGTCATAAGTAGAACTACTGGCAACTTTTGTATATTCAATTTCAACCTCAAAATCCACAACGATTTTGAAGGTTCAAAAAACAGCTTTGTTTTTGTCAAAATTTATCTCACTAACACGTTGATAAACGGTTCAAGCACATAAAGGTTAAAAGAAGTAGTTGCGCAAAAACACTGCAATGTTTACAACCACTTTTCAATCACAATAACCTTAGCGCGAAGAACAGAAAGCTGATCTATAGCTATATAATTAGACCAGTACTTTTTTATGGGTGTGTCGGGTATAGCAAAGCTGCCGACACTACTCTCCAGAAGCTACAAGTTGCTCAAAGTCAGGCTCTCCAAAGACTCTTCAAAGTACCGTGGTACATCCCCACGAATGACATGCTAAGAGAGCTTAGAATAGATCCAGTCAAAAAATATATATAAGGGACAAAGCCCTGAAGCTATATGCGAAAACCGACAGGCTGCTCTACTTAGCTCTATCTAATCGCAGAGTAATCACTAACCGCACAGGGCGGCACGCAGATCTTAGATCAGTCATTGAATAATCACGAAGATTATGAGGAATACACAAATTAGTCAGTGAGATAGGTGGGACTCTGCAGAAGCCCCTAACTATCAAAGAGTAAAAGTGTCTAGATGCACAAATTTGGAAAAGGCTCAACATTACATTGAATAACATTTTTTTACTGCTGTTCTGTTAAATTCACTGACCGTCTCAGCCATTATTGAAACATTCAATTCGTTTATGCCTTTTTTAATATTCTTGAAAATCTATTCTCACAATTTTATGTCTCTAAAAATTGAAGAGCGTAACAGGTTCATAAGAACGTAATAATTATATAATTGCAATAAATAATAAGTAAAAACAATTATTCATCAAAGTAATACTAATTCATTATTGCAATATATTATTATAATTATATTTTTTGCTTATGATTCCTGCAAATAATTGCGAGGAAATTTTCGGAATATGATATATTGTTTAAAATTTCTATCTAGTGGTTTGTCTATATAGTAATCAAAAGCATAATATATCGTATTTGTATTAGATTTCAATTAAAAATGAAATGTGAATATAGGAAACGAACACAGTAAAGAAGGTGAGTGGAGCTTTATATATTGTGACATCTAGCCACGAAAACCTTTCACAAGAAACGGAGATATGGCTTATCATTGAGAGAATTGTTTTTAAGCCTGCTGCCATGAACAGAGAGAGAAAAACGCCAGAAAGTCACTGTTCATTAAGTAAGCGTGGGAGGTAGAATTTCAAAATTTTTGTTAGTTAAAATTTATTTAAGCTAATCTGATCTTATTTTATATATTGTTAGACATTTATATATAAATTGTCTGATTTGAAAACGCCAGAATAAGTAATTTCTTAACTCGTTGTGTAAATACCTTCAGTACGTAGAATATCACAGAGACATTCAACGAACCCATGGCCAGCCTACGTGGAATCTGTGTCGGATTTGCATTTACCTAACATTATATAACATATTTAGCTCTTGTTACTTTAAAAAGGCTTTAGTTTGTTTTGATTTTCCAAACAACTAAAATGAAATAAATTAAATTTTGATTTGACATAATAGTGTTGTTGTATATTAATATTGAATATTTAGAATTATATCCTTTTCATATTTAATATTTAACAATTTAATATTGTTTCGATTATTGTTTTAATCGAAAGCTAATTTTTGGCTTCAAATTACTGATTTGAGTCAAAATATCACAAATGAGAAGTAAATGACTGATTTCTGCATACAAAATCTCATATGCACACATGAGATCCACACCCGCGTAACGAATCTCATTTTGTATAAATGAGTTCCAACAAGTTTCAAATGAGTTTCAAATGTAAATGAATACATTGAACATAGCATAAATAAAAGTTTTTTATGGCATTTTGACAGTTTGATAAAGCTGTTTTCGATATAATCACAAAAAAGGTAAATAAATATTTGCATTTCCTTGAAAACGATGCTTTCGATTTTCTTTTTGAAAATCTCTAATTCCCAAAAACTACTCAATCGAAGCTAAAAATAAGTTTTCAGTTTATATTGCAAGGTTCGAAGATATATTTTACCTTCATCCAACATTTATTTGGCACAGGCTGAAAATTATCTCAACAGGCATGTTGACAAATCAGATGTTTGAAATGAGAACAAATGAATAATAACGAATGTAAACACTTTCAAATGACTGATTTGAAATGACTCATTTGCAGGCAGTGTAAACGCCATATAAATGATGCGTGGCCAAAGCATTAATAGTTGTGTTTCAGCAAAGAATGATCCGCTCAATGCATATGCAAAACAATAACAATGTGGTGAACCAGCAATTGAACTGGTTCACATTCTGGTTCAATGTGGAATATGTGTAGCAAATAAAAATGGAAAGTATTTTATGCAAAATGTCGTTGGGAAGATGATTTTAACATATGATACGGTGCAGTAAGAAATAAAAACAAAACAATAAGTGAAAACATGGAGTTTGGCGGAAAAAGTTACGCTTTATTTTTATTTTTAAAACCGTCTTCTAAGACAATCGTTACCTGCGAATGCATTACATTAAATTCTCTTTGGGCAGAGGGCAAAGAACCATTATCTTTGAATGGACTAATCAACCAATTTAAATTTGGATATGCAGAATCTCTTAAAAAAAAATAACTGCTGGGGAATATGTTTGAAAGTGATGCTGTATTATACAGTTTAATTTGTCTACTTAAAACTTGGCTATCTATAATAAAACTTCATCATTTGCATTGCAAACTGCCTGCAAGATAAAGCACTAACAATGCTTCCTATTGAAATAGGCCTTATTGCTGTGGTGTGGAGTACTTATTTTAATATCTGTGTTGTCTATGCAACCAATTACGAACAGACATTTTTGTGGCTTCCACTTTTGCCATATTAACAAGTGCTTCGGCCGGTGTCCAATTGATATGAGTCAAGCACTAACTCTTTCAGTTACTCTCCACACAAAATAATTGTAAAATAAAGCTATTGTATTTTCAATGTGCACATACCTGTTAAATAATTGGTAGTATATCGTTGAAGTCTAAAATTTGCTCGAAATTTTTTTTTTCGAAATCTTCATCGGAAAAATTATTAATAGTTTCCATAAATATATTTTTTCCATATATATTTTTTTTTATTATTTTTAATATTTTTTTTTAAGTTTTTAATTTTTTATATTTAACATTTTTTTTCAATAATGCTCTTAGGGCCAAAATTATTTACACAAATCAAAATAAAAATTACTTTCACATGTGATTCGATCGTTTTCGCAAAAAATATCCAGATCCGTGCTGAAACACGGCTTATATATTCATATTCAGAAACATATATTCAGTAATAATGATGTATATATTAAATTTATTTCTAATATGTCACCACCCATATTTAATAAGATGATAGAAATGATGGGTGTCACTGTATAAGGTATTAAGCTTCAAATATTCTTTAAATTCACAAAAAAAAACGCCTACTAGTAAGATCATCTACTACATAGAAGTCTAATTCTATATGGTATCGCTAGGAATCAATAGGTATATGTATGACTTACGGCCGTCAAATGAACCTCTTTTTGGTCTATAGAAAGTTATACATGTATCTTTATAATATATCTTCAAATCAATTCTTAAGGCATAATGTTTTTCGAAATACCTTTATTGAATATTATTGTATTTACATTTAAATTAAACGTGTCCATTTCACGTCAAGTATTAATTCAAAACAGTACATTTTCCTTATAGATCTTCTGGAAGCTAAATTAAGGAAAAATTTATATATTTTATAGTGTTAACTCCAGAATCTGCCTTAGGTGTTACCTTCAATTTACATAAAAGGCATGATTGGCCGTTTCTACGTCATATGGAGATTTTAGTCCATACAATTTAAACTTTAAATTGTCACGCTGTTTGTATTATAGTTTTTTACGAAACTCATCATGTCATTTTTTCATCTTATAATTATCTACCGTTTATGTATTTTTCTGTAAATATCTTACCAGCCAAGAAAATTTTCACTCATTTCTAGTGCCGCTAAAGAAGCTATACGTCTGTGTCCACACATTGAAGAATGCACGAATGCTAAATTACTATATAGGTACGCATGCCATATAGTATATACTGAATACTTAATAAAGTATTATTAAGTACATAATACACGCATTCCCCTCTGTTATGATAGTTTTGATCCTTTTATTATTATTAGGTTCTTAAAAAAAAATTCTCAATAAAAGAAGCAAAAACTAACGTTCAGAAGCGACGAGAACATTAACATTAACATTCCCAAGAATAAATCGTATCTTCACTAAACAACGCCTTGTGTTCAAGTGATGTCCATTGCACATGTGACTTTCAATGTGCTTGTTAAAAACATATTGCAAATGTGTATTGGAAATACAAAACTCCTAAGACAGGTGTTTTTCATTCTTACAGAAAGCCTACATACATATATAGTACCTTAAGTCTTATTAAAATTTTATTGTAATTCAAACACAGTATCAAAACAATATTTCTCAAATACAGTTAATTAGTTCTAAATTAGTTCTACACAAAGTCAGTAACGGACTCAGGGTAAAGGCACAATCTATTCCAGTTAATATACTATAACAAACCTTTGCAGTGTAGGTATGTTTATCCGCTTTTCCACAT